TAGGATAATCCGTTTCGATAAAATGGTGAATAATCTGAAAATAACAAACAAGAAATAAAGACTCGCTCGTCTGCTTACAAACTTATGTCAGAATTTTCCTACCAAAGATTAATCATCTGCTGCCTGGCCTGACAAGCCCTCTCATGCAGAAAAACAAATGCAGTGAGGCGGTCTTAAGAAGCCTGAAGTGACTGATCCATCCACATATCGGACCACATATATATATATATCTATATGAAGCCAAGCCTTCAACGACTCCTCGAAGGAGGATATCAGCGGTGCAACCGTGCAAGACACCGTACCCACCGCACGCCGCCGACCCGACCTACACAATCACCGTCGATAGGACCACCCCAAAGCACCGAGAAAAGACCCCATCAGTATGGATGGTCAATGGGCCGCTCGGCACGGCCTGAACCGGACACGACTAGGGCGTGGCCCAAGGCATGTCAGGCCAGCACGCCCGGCATACTCCTCGTGTCGTGTCGGCCAAGCACACAGGCTAAACCTGTGGCCCAAGCACGGCCCATTAAGATGCTGTGCCGATCCGAAAGCATGACCGGTCTATCGTGATCGTTTTGAAATAAGTCTATATTGCATCTCTCAACTATTTGGGCCGTCTTTCTACATGGTTGGGATAAGTCCATTTTGTGTTCCTCATTTTCTTAGGTTTGTGTCTTGTATATGGCTGGAGTAAGGCTCCGTTCGTATGCGCGAGTCCTGATCCCGGGTCATGTTCCGTGCACCGGAAGCGTGGTCCCGCACACAGTACCAGAACGGCGGCTTGTGAGGCGGCGTTAACGGATGTGAGATGTGGCCATTGCGCCTCAGCTTTTCCGTCGGAGTCAGGTGTCACGCCCAGAAATTCACTAGTAATTTCTGAACTAATTTGTGCATGAAATCCTCATCCAAAAATCAGCCGAGGTACACAAACTGACAATTTAATATATAGATTCATCATAATAATAACGTACATACTTACAAAAGAAAAGAAAAACAGCAGCGGAATTACGGTCTAGCGAAGCTCCGGCTCCACAGCTCCCACAGGCAGCTCAACTATGATATAAGCCAAACGTCTTCTCCTTTTGGATCCTTTTTCTTCAACTGAGGTTGATTGATTATTGCAAGGTGAGCATATAACATCCTCAGCAAGGCACACAGCAAATATGCAAGTGCACAGGATACCAAAGGATGGCATAATATAGGCTCATTTACAAAAGCAGCATTTAGCAAACATTTGAGAATTGTAAAACAATAGAGTAATTAATCATCAATATTAATCAAGGGCGGGTCAGCGGCTCCCGGCGCAGCGGCTTCTCTGTGGCTCCCTGGCGCAGCGGGTGCGCTGCGGCGCCTCGACGCAGCGGCTGCCCGGTGGCGCGGCAGCTCGGGATTTTGCCCTGAGCTCGGGACCTCCACGGCGGCGAGGAGCAGCGCTGGCCTCCCTCTCACCCCTCCCTCTCCTCTCATCTCCTATGTGATGTGATTTATTCTGTGATTTCCACCTCTTCTCTCATCTTATGTTTAATTTATTTTGTGATTTGCAATTTCCAATTGGATTGCTTCATGTGTTGGATTATTTTGGGATGATTTTGTAATGATTCCAATTGGATTGGGATTTAGTTTTTGTGATGATTTGGGATTGGCGCCAAGCACTTCGCAGCCGCACGTCACCAGCAACCCGACGTGCCTCCTGCTGCCTTTGTACCACGGCCTTGGGGCAGCAGTGTCCTCGGCCTGCGATGATTTGGAAATTGGTATCGGGTTGGGAGGGGGAATCGGGTTGGGATGCTATTAGTTTTCTTGTGGGGATCAATTTTCGTGTTGTTTTTGGTTGTCTGGATTGATTGATTTGGGGATCTTGCTCAGGGTTTTTTTTTTTTACTCGGACTCGAACGAAGGAACCAAAATTTTGGGAGTGACGGACGAAAACACAATGACAGATACATGTGACGAGTAGAAAAATCCAAATCTTTTAATTAGTTAAGATATTATGTTAAGAAATACCGCGTCCTTAAGAAATGGTTTTTTGCTAGTACATAGCACAATTACGAAATTCAATCTACATACAATCTATTATTTTAAACGAAACTACATGAAATTGAATCCATATGAAATTACTACTGTAATGCAATTCCCGTTTCTTCTCAATTTTTGCAAACCGGAGTGTGCTTTCTTGTGTGCATCTACCAATTCCTCCCACGCATTTACACCCCCTGCAGCGCATCCGGCGGTAATGGCAGCCATCCTCCTCTCGCCGACAGAAAGTGTCGGCGCTCCAACGGCGCTCTGTGGAAATACCTAAGTCCTGTGAAATTTCAAACTGAAATCATATAAACCGTATATTTTCTTGTAACATGTGTAGGTGCTTTGGTATTAATTACACATGTTGCAAGAAAATATACCATTCATATGATTTCAATATGAAATTTAGATTTCTAGATTTAGACATAAAATTTTCTAGCAGATACATCGGTTCAATTCACGGGTCGACGATGCATGAACATTAACCGGTCGGCAAGTAGGGGTGGGCATTCGGTTAGACCGAAAAATTCAGTTCGGTTTCTCGGTCTTTTTAAAAATTCGGTCTTTAGAATCTCAAGACCGATCGGTCTCCAACAAAACTGAAGACCAAGAAAATTGGTCTTCGGTTAGTTCGGTTTGGTCTCGGTCATAGACCGAACTAACCGTGACAAAAATTTATCAGCAAAAAATTGGTACAAGATAAATGAATTAAGCAATTAGGCCATACACAACACACTGCAAATTGATGTCACCACTCACCAGCAAATCGAGCACTACTTAGACAAAAAAAAAAAGAAGCAAATCAAACACGATCTAGAAAGGAAATCGGCAAATCGAACACAACTGGCGCACACAGCCACTTCAACTTCAGCCTCCGGGATGTAGCCGACCGGCTAGATGTGGAGGGAGGAGGCGGCGCCCGGCGCGGTGCAGGAGGCGGCGCCGGCGCGGTGGAGCCGTGAGGGCAGGAAGCGGCGCTGGCGCGGTGGAGGCTGGAGGCGCCGAGGCGGAGGGTGGAGGCGGCGAGCTCGGTGAAGGGAGGAGGCGGAGGGGGCGCCGGCACGGTGGAGGCAGCAGGCGGCGCCGGCGCTCGGTGGAGGGAGGAGGCGAGCTCGGCGCCGGGCGGAGGTGGCGAGCTCGGTGGAGGGAGGAGGCGGATGGGGCGCTGCGCGGTGGAGGCAGCAGGTGGCGCCGGCGCTCGGCGCTGGGCGGAGGCGGCGAGCTTGGTGGAGGGAGGAGGCGGAGGGGGCGCCGGCGCGGTGAATGTGAGGAGGGAGTACGACGCCTAAGGGACAGAGGGAGTTGGGGTAGGGATTCTAGGGTTTTTTTACTGGGCTTAATTGGGCCTCTAGGTCTATTGGGCCAATTCGGTCATCTTGGGTATTTCGGTTAACCGAGCCCAATAACCGAAATACCTGAAATAAATTCGGTCTTTTGCTAGCTAGGACTGTATAGCTACCCGAATTTTTCGGTCTCGGTCCCGGTCATTTCGGTTTGGTCTAATTCTGCCCACCCCTATCGGCAAGAGCCGAAATTTGGATCCTTGTCCCACACTTGCACGGACAACCGCGGTATAACAATCTTTTGCGTCACAATCTTGAGAAAAGTCTTTTCATATATACTCCATATTCGAGTGCATAATAAATATACATAAGACACAAGTTGCCTGGGTTGGATATTGGACTATAAATAAAGCTGGATGACTTAATTTTCATCCCCTCCTACTTTTCTTCGACCGGCTGGTCGGCCCTAGCTTTGCCGACGTTTCCGTCGATGTCTCGCAAGAGACGGGAGGCAGCGACGGGTTGGGATCCCCTGGCCAACCAGTTTAGTTTAGTTGGATTAATATGGCAAAAATAGCACAGCCATCGAATAATTAGTTTGTACGGCTGAGATGGATTGCCCGAATGCAGATGAGTATTAATAATTAGTTTGTCAAACTAAACTAAATGATCCAGCAGAAACCCAAAAGGTAAACATAGATGCTCATGTTCTTTGTCATTATTGATTTTTAACTTCCGATCAACCTTTTTTATGAGAAAAATATCTTTCTCTCCTAATGGATTCAACTACAGAGTACATGAATAATGTCCGGCTGCTCATTTATTTATTCTCTACTTGTCTTCTCAAATCATTACAACAATTATTTGACATCTCCCATGATAGAAATGAAATGTGGAGCAGAGTGTGGGTTGTAAACTCTGAAGTTGAAACCAGCAATGCAATCAGATATTACTGTCAGAAACCAATATATAGTGCTAATTGAAAAGGCTCAGTTGTTTTAGATCAAATCATGCTGCTAAAGACCCCTGCTTGATTGCGGTCATTTACTTAGGAAATTCTACAATACATACATGTTACCTCATAGCCTCGAAGTGTTGTTTGATAGGTTCTTGCACATCCTAGTGTACTGCTCCCTTTCAGACCTATCAGCAACGATGTCTTCAGCCACTACCCAGTGGCCAGTGATACCCATTGCTCCGACCGTACCAGCACGGGCGCCGCGCGTGGATGCGCCACCACTCGTCGCTCCGCAGCTTCCTCTGCCCCCACCACGCCGGCTCTGCTCACTGGTTTCTGGTCGCCGGCAGCCGGCTACCCTTCGCCACTGCTGCCACAGGATAAAGAAATCTAAAAGAGGAAGTAGCTGGAAGCGGTGGAGTGTTAAATGCCGATTTTTTTTTTCGGTTTGATGGAACAGGATTCTCTGAATCTTTCTCCTGGTTGTGGGCTAAGGGGAAAAAAAAACAAGAAAACGCTAGGATTGTGCCACGTATACGATCGGAGCACGTGGGGAGCAGGCAAGCCCGTCGCTGCCTCCCGTCTCTTGCGAGACATCGACGGAAACGTGGGCAATTACGATGAGTTTGAGGAATTTGGACCCAATGCAGATGCTTTTCCTTTTCATGTTTTTGGTCGATCTGAAGATATTTGTTCGTTCAAGCATGGTGGTAGTCGATCCGGTATATAAAGGAGGGTGCTGGAGTATAAAAAACTAAGCCTGAAACCGCAATTCAGCCAGAGCCCCAGTGATATCGATAGTACAGTACTGATCAAAGAACAGCATTATGCAAATAGTATCAAATATGGGTTCCGCCGGCAAGTGCGCGCCAAGCCTTGCACCAACACATATAGGACTTGGCATGATGGGGAAGATCGCTGTGAGCCCATCCAGCGTTAGGCCTAGGCCTCGGGCCATGGCTTCCCACGACGCTATTGCTCCTGAGAAGACGACCAACTATGAGCCCTCAGTCTGGGGGGATTTCTTTATCAACTATAGACCACAACCGCTCCAGGTATGGATGTGTATATATAAACATATATATATAGTTGTTATATATTAGTGCAACAGTTATACGTATATGCTAATTATATATTGTCTATGCATGCATGTACATGCAAATATTTTTATGCATATGTTCTGTTAATTAGTACTGGATCAATAGGAAACTTCATTAGTCAATACCGCAGCTCATGCATGTCTGACTCGAGATTTTAATTTTAATAATATCAATATCGGCCCATATGTGGATAGCGCCATATCGAGGCCATTTAGTGGAGTCCTAAGTTTGCCGCCATTATTTTATGGCAAATTTTGCTACATGACACTGCTATTTTGTGGTTTTAGCCTACACTGTCCAAACTCACTTTTGGGGAAAACACTCCATAAACGTGGTAATTTGCCAGTGGACACCACGTCGATGAAAATAATAATTTTTGGTTGAAGAGAAAAGATATCACGTGAAATGTCAAAAATGCCCTTGGGCCCACATGCCAGCTCCTCCATCTCTATTCCACCACGAGCGCCGTTGTTCGCAGAGTGGAGCGCCGACAGCGCTGGGAGTCGTGCGGCAACGGCAGTGGCGGAGTGTAGCACTGGGAGCGCTGGGAGTCGTGCAGAAACGGCTGTCCCGGGTGCGGCAGCAACGCCGAAGATAACCACGACGACGCGCGGCGATGGCGGCTGCGGCAATTGCAGCGCGGCGGTGACTACGCCTTCGCCGCGTGGGGCGCCGGTGGCGGAGGGTGGGGACGACAACCAGAAGGCGGTGGCGGAGGGTGAGGACGACAACGAGGAGGCCATGGCAGACGGCCCCAAGATCAAGATCCTGGCGCGCGGTGGCGGCAGTGGTGGCGGCGGCGGTGGCAGTGGTGGCGGTGGCGGTGGCGCTTAGTGGTGGCGGCAGTTGCGGCAGCTTTGACGGTGCCGGTGGCGAGGCGGTGGCGCTGCGTGCAGGTCATGGTCGCCGTTGGCCATGGCGGCTGCGTCGGCATGGTGACGGCGAATGCAGTGGCGACGACGATGACGACGGCACGAAGACGCACGGTGGTGGCGGCCCGCCGGAGGAGATTCTGAGAGACATTTGAATAGGGAGGAGAGGTCACGATGGGGATCGCCTGGAGATGGAAGAGATGGCATGTGGGCCCAAGGGTATCTTTGACACGTCACACGATTTCTCTCCCCACTTCAACCAAAAATTATTATTTTAATCGACGTGGTGTCCACTTGCAAATTACTACATTTATGGAGTGGTTTCCCCCAAAAGTGAGTTTGGGCAGTGTCTTAGGGCTAAACCACACAATAGCAGTGTTCTGTAGCAAAATTTGCCTTATTTTATACTGCTTATGTGCATGCGCACTATACTTTTGCTGGTTTTATCAATCCAAACCATGAATGCTGCAGAGATCAGAGGAATGGATGAGGCAGAGAGCCAAGAGGCTCAAGATGAATGTCCGCACACTATTCTGGACTTCCAATGATGTGGTTGTAAGGATGAACTTAGTGGATGCAGTCCAACGTCTAGGAATTGGTCACCTCTTCAAAGATGAGATAAGGCGCACACTAAATGATATACACCAAAGTGAATTTACTAGCTCTAGCCTCCATGAGGTTGCTCTTCGGTTTCGCTTGCTTAGGGAGCACGGCTTATGGGTATCTCCAGGTATCTATTGTTCTATAGAGTGGACTTAAACTAATGTTGATATAGCTTATTACTTTTTATGCTCATTATCCATTTGGTAATGAAATTTGAATTGCATTTAATAATTGTTGGTCGGAAAATTCTATACAGCTTTAGAGACAAACTTTATTTTTTAACTATACATTAATAGTGATAACACATGTAGAATCTTTAAGTTTCTCCACGTTTGATTTTTCTATTGTCAACGAAAAAATCATAATAGGTTAAAGCTAAGGCTGTGTTTAGATCCAAAGTTTGGATCCAAACTTCAGTACTTTTCCATCACATCAACCTGTCATACACACACAACTTTTCAGTCACATCATCTCTAATTTCAACCAAAATCCAAACTTTGCGCTGGACTAAACACAGCCTAAGAAAGAAATTTTGGTTCTTCTCTGTACAAGAGAAGGCTAGTCACAGACACATCTCAAACTAATTAGTTACAAATTAAATATTTTGTCTTGCAGTTACATTCAACAAATTCAAAGGTGACGATGGGAGGTTCATGAATGGAATAGCTGATGAACCAAGGGGTTTATTAAGTTTATACAATGCAGCTTACCTCCTTGTTCATGATGAGCCAGAACTCGAAGAGGCAATCTCTTTTTCTAGGTACCATCTAAAATCAATGATGCAGGGCAATAACCTCAAACACCCTTTATCTGACCAAGTCAAGCGTGCCCTTAACACACCATTACCAAGGACATCCAAAAGAACAGAGACATTGCATTATCTTTCGGAGTATGGACAAGAGGAAGGGCATATGTCAATTCTTTTGGATCTTGCAAAGGTGGAATTTAACCTTCTGCAGGGGGTCCACTTGAAGGAGCTCAAAGCTATTTCTGAGTACGTGTGCCTCTTTGATATATACCAAACTAACAACAAAAGTACTACAACAGTATATATTCATATCAATCTTAATACAGCTTCATACACTCATACATATATATGTAAATGATGTACTAAACAAACATGTCTGATAAATGTACAATATCCGGAAGAGCTCTTTGCAATATTAATTAGTACCAGTAATAATCTTAAATATACTATCTAAGCATGCACCTAAAATGCTTTTATTTTAGGTGGTGGAGAGACCTTAATGAACATGTGGAGCTAAGTTATCTTAGGGATCGTGTGGTGGAGAGCTATACATGTTCACACATGTTGTTCTATGAAGAAGGCTTAGCATTCACACGGATAACTTTTACCAAGATAATTGTACTAATTATTATGATGGATGATACATATGATTCCCATGCTACCATCCAGGAATGCAGGAAGCTAAATGAAGCCATACAAAGGTTTTGTCTTTGTCTTAGTGTATGCTGACATAAACTAATTTATATATACTTGCCTGACTAATTCCGATGTAAAGTTAACAATTTGCCTGCCTTGCAGATGGAATGAGAGTGCCGTCTCTGTCCTACCAGAGTACCTAAAAAATTTTTACCATAAATTGTTGAATAATTTTAAGGAGTTTGAGAATCAAGTGGTGGTTAGTGAGAAGTACCGGGTTGCTCATGCTAAAAAAGAGGTACAACAGCGATATAACTATGTTGGGACTGATTCCTTATTTGTTTATTTGATTTTCAGCCAACTTAGGTTTTCAAATTTGACTATTATGTTTCATAAATTTCCATCAATATGTGATGATAAAATTGTCATGACTTTCACAGCAACAAATATGATGGCATAATTTTCATACTAGACTTTTTTTTCAGTAATGATCAACATTAGTTGACAACATGAATTCTATGAAGTCAAGTAAAAAAATAGAGGTGGAAAGCATCAGTGGTGTTGTGGTGAAGTTTTGGTTGCATCATTCCACCCACCAGATTGATGGCTCAACTCTTCATACCAATGAATATTATGCAAAAGCGGGTGCTCTTTTCAAAAGAATTTTATGATGCTAGGGAGTGGTCACTGGTCTCGGTCTCTTTGAGTGCATGTTGGGTTGAATATTTGCGGGTGTGTGAGTGTGGTTTGGAAAATCAAAGCAACAATATTACCATGTTTTGTTAACCTTTTGTTATGAATTTCTTTTTCTTGGGCACAGTTTCAAATACTGTCCCATTATTTTCTCCAGGAAGCTGAATGGTCACATAATAATTACAAGCCAAGTTTTGAAGAGCAGTTGGCTTTATCTACAAAGACTTCAACGGTGCAACTATTATGTGTGTCTACTACGGTCGGCCGGGGTGATGCAATAACAAATGAAGCATTCATGTGGGCAGCTAGCAGTACTACCGTGACATCATGTGCAAAGATAATGCGTTTCATGAATGACATTGCTTCATTTGAGGTACAATTTAATTAATTAAACTTGTTCTTATTAAATGTAATTTTTCAATGCCCAGAACAACATTGTTCCTGAGTGGCCACAGTATTTGTTCAAGCTCATCATTATAGAGAAACGGTAAATTTTCACACAAGTAAAAGAAAAACATGGTGCTCAACATATGACTATATGCTACTATCCATGATTCCCTTAACAACTACTCTATAACAATGTACTTTATAACTTTTTACATTGTTAAATTATGGGTGGAAGGTGAGAAATTATAATTTATCTTTGACATTCATACAGCGTGGGAAGAACAAAGGGGAAATTGCGAGCACCGTTGAGTGCTACATGAATGAGCACAACATCATAAGTGAGGTGGCCTTTGCCAAACTCGATTCACTGGTAGAAGATGAATGGAGAACCATCAACCAAGCCCGTTGTGAACATCATCAGCTACTCCCGGTAGTGCAACGAGTTGTGAACTTGGCTATTTGTATAATGTTCTTTTATGACAAGAGAAAGGATGCGTACACATTCTCCACACATCTACAAGAGATTGTTAGGAATCTTTTCATCAATCCCATTACCATGTAGTTCCCCTTTTAGACTGTATTGTCAAATATTATCTATTTTTTTTTCTTTTTACTTTTGGAGGGATAGATGAAACAAAATCTATATTGTATGATTTTTTCAAATTAACTTGCCTCCCACTAATTAATTATATTTCTTCCATGCCATGTCACCCTTCTTATTTGTAGCATTCCGTTGATTGATCAATTACGCAAATTGTGTTTTTTTCTCTCATCTTATATCATCCCAATTATTTTAGCCTTTATATGATTGATATGTGATTCATTGCCTCTCACTACAAGAATTTTGGGCTTCTGTGACGATAACAGCATGTTTCCTGTCACTACCCGCCTGCTGTGACGAAATGGCTGTCATCACAGAAGGTGGGTCACTAACCAGCTTCTGTGACCACCAGAGGACATCGTCATTGAAATAGTGATGATAGTTCTCCTGTCACTGATGAATGACGAGACAAATTCGTCATAACAAATTGAACCAACTAACGCCACGTGTATGATGACATGTGATGTTGCAGATGACAAGGCGAGTGATGTGGTAGATGACGTGGCAATTCACATTCGGCCCATATAGCATGGGCTTTTTTATTTTCAATTACAATTGGCCCAAATATTTTTTGACCTAGCTACAAATTTGCTTTTACATTTTTTTCATTATAGTCCAAAGTACAATTCAAGCCCATATTATGGGCCAGCCCAATTAAAAAAGCAATCACAGAATATAAACCACAACCATTTGCATAATCATATTATAATCACATTCCAGCCATAATTAATTTTCCAGCCCATACAAAAGCAAGTTCCAGAATACAGTTTCCAACATGTTCCATACAAAAGCACGAAACATGAATACAAAATATTCCATCCACCATCCAACTACACAAGTCCCAGCCGACTATGAAGTTCCTACAGGTAGTGTCAAGTTCCTGCACCAAAAAAATTCCACCTAGCAGCCACTACTAAGTTTTGGCGTGCATCTTGCCAGCAGCCAGGAAAAAAATTCCACCAAGCAGCCACTGCACTTTCGGCCTGCATCCTACCAGCAGCCAACAACTAGTGCCAAAAAATCCTGTGTTCTAGCAACCAACGCAAAAAAAACTCCAGCCACCAAAAGTGCCAACCCGCAAGCAACCAGCAGCTAGCACCAAGTTCTAGCAGCCACATACACCATACAATAGCAGCCACATACACCACCAAGTTCTGAAGTACCAAAAGCGATCACAGCCTCGAAGTTCAACTACACTAACACGAGCCATCAAATTCCAAGCTCAGCCACCTCATTCCTGCCATCAAAAGGTGCATGTTTTCAGTTGATGGTGAATAAAAAGTCCATTTTGTTTGGACTTGGAGGCAAACAAATGAACAAATAGTGTTTAGAGTAATAATCCAGCAGGTAAATTGAGTAATAACAATATATTGATATGGCTCTTTTCCGTAAAGTCCAAACAAATGGCTCTTTTCTAGTCACAACTAAATCCAAACAAATGGCTCTTTTGCAGCTAATAATCCAGAAAAAAATAGAGTATCTAGATCGATCAATCAAATGGCTCTTTTCCAGTCACAACTAAACAATATCTAGTTTCATAGTAACAACAACTATAAACAATCCAGCAAGTAAATTGAAATAGGCAGAGTAATAGGCAATTTTGATACACACCATGAACAAAAAATTCAGCCACCAATGAAACAGTACAATAGGCTTGATATGGATGCAAAAGCACAAGAGACAAGTTAAAGCTGTGCACCTGAGCATACAACTAGCTTAGGGAGGACTGATCAGACCCTGTCCAAATGCTATCATTTGTCGAAGGAGGCCCTGATGATGAAGTGAGGGTTTCCCGGGCATGCATATCCTCCTAGCAATGAAAGCAAGGTTTCAGTTTTGCATTATTATATAAATAAAGGTTCATTGCATAAGGTACTTAATAAAAGAAGGAAAGAAGATGTAATAGTTCAGTACTTACTATAGCTTTCTTTACAGGTTCACTAAAACCTTTAGTTTGCTGCAATGCAACTCATTGAAGAGATCAATTACAGTGGGCTCACTGTCAATTGCAGTGCCCATGCTCTTCCCCCTTGGCTCCACTTGTCTACTGCCAATGAGGGTGCCTAACATAAAACATTTACAAGTGTCAATAAAAAGATCCTGCACTTGATATGAAGGCATAACACATGTAAGGACAAAAGAACCAAGAATCCAAGTTACTTGCCTTGTTCAGTAGAGCTCAATCCCATTGGCTCCAGTTCTGTACTTAAAGTGAGGTCGCTCAATCCCATTGCCGCCACCCAATATGGCCACCCAGGGCAAAGGCCCCATCTGCGGCGCAAGAAGGAAGGGTTGAGGATGATGGCCAGCTGCGGCGCGCCCTGGTTAGGGCTCCACCCGCCGATGCTCACCAGTGCCACCGGATCTTGCAGTCCCGAGGCCCTCATTCCTGTAGTCACATTCTGCAAGACAGATGAAGAAAGGATCAGAAGAAAAGATCACAACATTGCATTAGAGTTGCAGAAGCTTCTAACTAGTAACTGTTTTTGCTAGGCAAATCTGTGAGTTGAGTAGGATTTTAAGGAACATATACTCTTTGAGCAAGTTTATGGCCAATTTAGTAAAAATCTCACATCTTATTAACATTCTTAAGGGGATATTTTTGTGACAGACATTATATTGGATTATAGAAGGAATCAAAGAGATGCTAGCCATGACCTTTCTTCTCAGGAGGTGATGCTTCCCTTTTACCAGTGACAATTTCTACTTTATGAACTACAAACTGAGGTGGAGATGCAGCAGTAGCTTCCCTTCCTACTTCAACTACCAACTGCACTAAAGGATCCAAGCTAGAAAAAATTTCTTCCTTGGAGATATCATGATCTATATACTTGGATTGAACTGAGTTCAAATCAATGCTACCACACCTAACATTAACAAAAAAGAAGGTGTTTGTTTTTCAAGAAGAATGCATGTGGTAAGTTTGGTACAGAGTAGAGATCAAAACAGTAAACAGCAGCTGTGATCGGTTGGGCAGGCATAAACATCTTCCTAATTATAATTAGTTAACCATACATTTTTGAAACACGGTTTCTTTCTAGACCAAGTCAACTCTGACCCAAACTAACTCTTTGGATTATTTTAGTTATTAAATGTAGAAAAGCTATATTCAATAGGTAGATGCCTCCCTACTTTCCCAATGAACATTGTTAAACCCACAAGTCAAACATGGATCACCCATATTTTGTTAAAGAAACTATGCAATTTACCACGCTTGACCTAAGAAGCTAGACCAATCCTTGATAATACTAACATGCCTAACCATGCTCCTAATGCTTACCACTCCAAATTCAAGTACGAAAGCTATTCTGTTATGTAACCTAAAAATAATTTCGAACTTGAGAATCATCGATATCGACACTAGAATACAAGAAGAGAGAAGCTTATAAATTTTAAGTACTAATTGTATGACTGTCAAAAACAATCAGAACTATGTACTGCTCTAATTTTCACAAAACAATCAGAACTAATTACTGCTCTAATTTTCACAAAGGAAGGATCAATAGGAGAATGGAAAAAAAATATTTGCTAATCACTACTCCATTTCAAGACTGATTCACACAAAAAACTGTCTACGAGAGAGGTTGTGACCTGCAAAACTGAATCCTCTACTCGCCGTCTTTATCTCGGCTACAAATCGCTCCAGCAGCAGCAGCAATCAAGCACCAACAGAATACCCCAATAAACCACCAGATCCGCGAAAGCCAGCATCTCTTCTACCGATTTCCCAACTCGACAAGGGAGTTGTTACCCTCATCCAGATCCCGACGCGTCGCTGGCCTGCTACCCTGCACCCCTGCCCCGCGCCGCGTGCCCCCGCGGCCCGCGCCACCTGCCCGCCTTGCGATTGCAAGTCGCCAGCCGCCGCTGGTCATTGTCATCGTCGTCGTCGCTGCAGCACTGTAGCCGTCGTTGCAGCCACTGTAGCCGTCATCGCCACAGCCGCCGCCGCCGTAGCCGCTCGCTCCCTCCTACCTAAGCCTGCCGCCGCCGCTCCGTAGGGCGGAGGTGGGTGGATCTGCGTGTTGCCGGCGCTCCCACTCACGCCAGGCCGCTCCCGAGGACGGAGGCCATTGGATTCATGCGCCGCCGTCGCTCCCGAGGACGGGAGGCGGCGAATCCGTGTGCCACCGTCCTTCCCTGGCTAGGGGAGCGACGTGGGGAAAGGCGAAGATGGATGGAGGAGGAGAGGGATGTTGGCGGTGAGGGAATGGATGGTGGCGGCGGCGGCATATGGATTTAGTTTGGGCTAAGGTTTGGGGGAGAGGTTATATGGGTAGGAAGCAATCCAACGGGAGTTTACCAAACTGTCCCTGGTATGTCAACAGTAGTTATGAAATTGTATGAACAAAATGGACATTTCACCTTAAATTTATGAGAACTTTAAATTTAATTTTAGGCTGATTTTTGTGTTTCAAATGCAAAAATCATAAACAACAAAATTGTAAAACTCATCGAGATCTACAACTACTGTATTGGTCCTTTTTACAAATAAGTTTATTTGAACAATTCAAATTTTGAATTTTCAAAATTTGATAACGTCAAACAAAAATTGAGGTTAATAAATGATTTAAAATGGAAAAGTCACCAAAACCAAAGTTGTAGAACTCATTGAGATGCAAAATTTTTATTTTGGTCATTTCTCCATCTGACTCTAATTAAATAATTTGAAATTTGAAATTCAAACTTTGAGAACTTCAAATAGAATTTTTTATTAGTGAACGACTTCAACTGAAAAAGTCATCAACAACAAAGTAGTATAATTCATCTAGATCTACAATTTTTATTTTGGTCATTTGTTCATCCGATAAAGTGATTTTAATATTGTTCACAAAATTTACATATCTCTCTTATAGTTTTATAAACCATATAAGAGATATGTAAATTTTGTGAATAATGTTTTTATCACTTTGTCGGATGAAGAAATGACCAAAATAAAAGTTATAGATATTGATTAGTTATACAACTTTGTTGTTGATGACTTTTTCAATTGAAATCATTCAGTATTTGAAAATGTTGTTTGAAGTTGTCATAATTTGAAATTCAAATTCAAATTATTGAACACAAAGTCATATAGCAAAATGACCAAAGTAAAAATTATAGATATTAATAAGTTATACAACTTTGTTGTTGATGACTTTTTCATTCGAAATGTCGGGTCCCAAAACTAATGATTCGGAAACCGACATGTTTAGACTGTATCAAGCCCTGGATCAGTAGATTGATACAGGTTCAACAATCTGGCTCTTCATTGCATACATTTGAACAGGGCTCTAGAGGAGTTGTTATTACAAAATATATGGGTATTTACAAACTTGTGGCTAACTAATACAGCAGAAGCTATAGAATGACTCAATCCTAATGTTTTGCTATAGACTTAAACCATCTAACTAATCTAGACTTGAGAACTAGGTTGAAATGAAACTAACTTATATGATTGAACTCTCGGCTTCGGCAAGAACTCCAAATTAATTCTGAAAGAAGGGGGTTAAAGCAAGGGTGAGTACAACGTACTCAGCAAGTTATTATATTCAAGTATGAATGTATGAAATAATAGTATTTGAGTAGAGCTAGATCTAATTGCAGAAAGCTGAGAAAGTAGAAGGAGAAAGTCTATAATGTTTTGAAATGCAACAATATTTAATAAAATCTGGAGTTATATTTCTAACCAAGATGCCATAGTGAGTCCCGATGCTCAATATCCGTGAGCATGGCTATTCGAATAGTTTCAGAGATACTCATACTGTAGTAGATGTACACTTTACCCGCAATCCATGACATGCTAATATTCATCAGCTTAGTCATGGCAAAGCTTTTCAGTTCCTAACATTAGTGGTACCTGTTCCATGAACTATAGTCCTCATACGCTCTGAACGTAACGTTATCAGCAGCGAGAGGAGTTCTGGCGTTCCCGAGGTTTTTAGAGAGAACTGGTTGAGAGACCCCCGTCATCCCAACCAGGTTTTCACAATACACACACAGCGCGCAATAATCAATATATTTACCTACGCCTCGGTAAATATTATAATCGCCCTGCTCGGCGTAAATTTGCCTCCTGCGCGAGGACTTAAAGAAGAACCACTGTACAGGGGTACCACCTTTGCTAGATAACATACTTTGCTAAGTCTGTCCCCATTCTAGAAGTTGCGGTCGTACTCGCTCGTTCTTCACATGTACTTGGCAATCTTATGTCGGTTGGAACAGTACTAGCCACCCGGAAATCAACCATTTCTACCGTACTGTTCCAATCTAAGTTCATTATATTTTATGCAATCTAACTAGGCATGGCTAAGCAAAATCTAGCATATATATCTGGTTTGCTATGTGTTCAAGTTATGCATTTAAAATCATGAATGGCTAATGCATGGAATAATAGGGATATAGAATATAGGATAATAATGCTCAAAGGGGAGGAATAATAACTTGCCTTGCTCCAACGCAAACAAATCCGAGATAGGCAACCTGATTATCTGATCCTCGAAACATCACAGGTTGCCATCCAAAAGATAATAGACTCTACTAAGAAAGACGAAGAACTAAATTCAATAAAAGCCATAAAATAACAAGAAAACGATAAATGGTTAGGAGGGCTAGGGTTTGGTTGTGTGCTAGTCGATGCTAGAGCATAACGACTAGGTTTGGTATCTTCTCTAGCCGGTGTCAACAGGCAGCATAACGGCTAGAGGGATAGGAGGTTTGTGTGGGTTTAGTGGGGCGGAAGTGTTACTCCGACAACCGTGAGTGGCGGTGGAGCGGCTAGGATCACACAGAGCCCGAGAGCTAACTGTGCGGCGTGCAATGGAGGTCGAGGGGATAATGAAGCTCCGACCGTTGTACGCATCAAGGCGTGGGGTGCCAGGAGCAGCACTTCGACCTTGGGTTTGGCCTTTGCCAGGCTTTATAACCAACAGTTCGACGTCGGGGATAGAAAACCACGAACGTCCCCATGGAAGGCATAAAGTTCCAACCGGCGGCTTTTTAGTGGCTAAAGGGGTAATTTGGGACAAAAGAAAATATTTGAAAAGGCAAATATAAATTCAAACGATATTTGAATAAATTCAAATAAAATTATAAAATAGCAAATTTGGTGTCAAAAGATAGGGTTTAAGTTTCACTGGAATTTGATCTACGGTTTAGGAGATATGAGCTTCTAAAGATTGGGTTTTGAATTAAATCTAGAAAATACGAAAATGTACTGTTCATGGACCCAGACATGTACCTGCTCTTTTCCTTTTCTCTCTCTCTCCTTCTTCTCGTCTTCTTCTTCCTTCAGCCGATAGAAGGGAGAGGGAGGGCGGTTGGGGCGACGGCGCTCCGGTGGCTGACTGGCTGCGACGTCGGCGTCCACGCGTGTTCCCGAGCACGACGCACCTGGGGAGGGCGGTGGCTGGCGGAGAGAGTGAAGGAGTTGGCCGGAACGGCGACGACAGGAGCTCGACCGTGGCAACAAAAGGAGTGGCGGTGGTGGCTTGATGTGGTGGCTAAAAGAGAGGGGAAAGGGGAAAAATGGGTTCACCTCGTCGAGGCAAACACGATGGCGCAAGGGCTTGGCTTGTGGAGATGCGGAAGAGGAGATCGACTGATGGTGGCAGTGGCCGGTCAAGGCAGGAGAGAGAGAAGAGAGCTTCAAGCTCTGATGTGGGGAGAAGAGGGCGATCTCGCCGGCTATTTATAGGCGGCGGACGTCGGTTCACGAAGGTCGGTTCGCCGGTGGTAGATGAAGAAGGCACGGCGACGGTGGCGTGAGGAAGAGGGACACGGCGCCGGCCCTGTACGTTGATTGGTTGATGATGGCGGTTCGTCTGCTGTTGACGTCAGCGGGATGATGTGTAGTTGACGTCGGGCGGCGGTTCCTTCGCGTCGACGGAAAGAAGACAGCGGTGGCAGAGAGTTTGTGGGCGGTGTTGAGAGGACCGAGGACGACGGCGCACAAATGGCGCACGGCGGCGGCGACTGTGGCGAGGGAAAAGTCGGCTCTGAGAGGGGGAGGCTGGGCCGACTTGGGCCGGTCTGAGAAATTTGGCCCAAAAGCGAATAGAAGTTATTTTTCAATTTTGGAAGATATTTGAAGAAGGAAGTTTGAATCCAAATTAATATTTGGAAGGAAATTTAGGTGGCTAACTTTTGAAATGAATCTATTTTTGGAGATAACTTTCAAAAGAGATATTTCCTAAATATTTGAGTGCAATAATGTGGTCTAAATATTAAAGCACTCAAATGGGAGGGAATTAATATAATTCCTCAAAATATTTTTGGGAATGAGGCAGGAAAACAAGGAGGGAAATAAATAGGATTTTTAGCCCCAAAATATATGGTATGGATTTTAGAGAAGTATTTGAGGCTAATAGGAATTTGGATTCGTGGAAGAGAAGGATAAAATATATTTTTTTAGCACAAGAGCAATTATTCACAATATCTGTAATAATATTATTCTTGTGCCGAAGAGGAAATCAAGCTATAGGAATTAAATTGGCGGCTAGATTAAAAGGAAGAATTTGGATACTTGAGATTTCGAAAGGGAACTAAGGATAGGTTAACAATTAACTCCAACAAATTTGGAATTGCTTCGGTTTAGGTTCAAGGATAGTGTTGGAGGATTTCTTGGACCATGATTCATAAAAGTAAAAAGATTTTCAAACTAAATTTGAATAAAAGGAATTTTTTCAAAAGAAGGTTTTTAAATTAAAACCCAAAATCAAGAAACACCTTAATTTAACTAAATATATTTTTAAAGGAAAGGCACAAAAGAAATTAAATACCAGAAAGAGATTTTATGCAGGTTAATTTTAGGAGGTCTCTTTAATTATAATATCCTAGGTTTAGGAGGTTAATAAAAACATAAGAACCGGTATGATGCATAATTAGAAAATAGCTAATTTTTTAGTATGTTACACGAAATCATTAGTATTTGAAAATACTATTTGAAATTGTCATAATTTAAAATTCAAATTCAAATTATTGAAACAAAGTCATATTGAAAAATGACCAAAACAAAAGTTATAGATCTTAATAAGTTATACAACTTTGTTGTTGATAATTTTTTCATTTGAATTCATTTACTACCCGAAAAGTTATTTGATTTGAGAGGAGGGAAGTAAAATGGACTTATTGGCGAGGGAGGAGCAAAAGGGCTTGGCCGGTGGCCCAAAGAGGGAGGAGGAGGGAGAGAGAGGCTGTGGGCTAAGGGAGGGAGAGAGTAATACTTGGGCCGAAAAAGGCCCAAGGACAGCGAGAGGAATTTTAATTTGTTTTTCATTTATTTTAATAGGTTAAATAAACTTTGTGGTATTAAAATTAGTTATTGAGCTCCGAAAATTCACGGAAAATTTTAAAGAATAATTTAGACCAACTTATAGCCATTTTAGTTTGTTTTTTTAAGTTTTTTCATTCAATCATAAAATGAAACACCATAATTCTGTTTTTTTATTCATAAAATGAGACTAGACATGACTTCAATCCTAAAATCCTAAAATGAGAGACTAGAATTGATGTAGACAAGAAGAGTTCACCTAGGACAAACGATTTATGGTCTAGTAGCAATGTAGTATAACAAGATTTTTTTTGTTTTTAAAAAATATAATAGTTCTATATTTTATGACGATCCATTATTGTCATCGTGCTATCGTCACAGAGCCCATGCAGAGTATACTGTGACGATGATTATGACAGATACACGGTTTGATCATAAACAGCTGTCATCCTGTGAACAGTCGTCATAAACAGCCTCTGTTTATGACAGATATGTGTTCCGTCATCAGGTAATCGTCATAGAAGCCCAGATTTGTTGTAGCATGAAGCCACACCTTCTCATTTATTTCACACATCTAAATGGTTGACGATATGTGTGAATTGAACAAAGCATATGGAGTGAAACTACAAATCTTATATACCGATTGCAAGGTTAAAACCCTAGATGTTAATTGGGCCACGTGTAGGGATGAAAACGGATCGGATACGGACGGAAACTAGCTCTACCATATTCATTTTCATATTTTTTTTCGGAATCGGAATCGGAATCGGAAACCCCGGATACGAAAACGGAATCGAATATTGTCGAATACAGATACGGAGCGAATACGAAACAGAACGAATACGGTGACGAATATTAATCGGAACATAAAAACCACTCAAACTAAGCATCACAAATCAACAATGAAATATAACTTGTTATTTTTTCTAATAGAACATATCAACATTTCCAAATTTTAGTGTTAATAATTTTGCTATATCCAATTTTGTGGTTGAGGGTGACGGCGTCTGCAAAAATCGACCTTTATTTTCTCATGCGGCTCCTTAAGACTAGTTTATCGTACTCATATGAACTCCAAACTGGATGATTCTTTTTCCTAAATGTTTGTAAAATCATGCTCTATTGTGTTATTGTGTTCTTACTGCTATTATTTTGGCCATATTTTTCTTGTGACTTTGTTTTATCAATTAAAATTTTGAATTTCAAAAAAATGACAACTTCAAATAATATTTTGAAGCGGTAAATAATTTCAGCTGAAAAAGTCATGAACTTAAAAGTTGTAGAACTCATCAAGAGCTACAACTTTTATTTTGGTCATTTCTTCATCTAATAAAGCAATAGTAACATTGTTCACAAAATTTACATATCTCTCTTATAACTTATGAAACCATATGTGAGATATGTAAATTTTGTAAACAATGTTACTTTCGCTTTGTCGGATGAAGAAATGACCAAAATAAAAGTTATAGATCTTGATAAGTTATACAACTTTGTTATTGATGACTTTTTCAGTTGAAATCATTTAGTATTTGAAAATGTTGTTTGAAGGTGTCATATTTTGAAATTCAAATTCAAACTATTTAAGCAAAGTCACATAGAAAAATGACCCAAACAAAAGTTGTTGATCTTGATGCGTTTTACAACTTTGTTGTTGACAGTTTTTTTCATTTGAAAACATTTACTACCCAAAAAAATATTTCAATTTCATATATTTTAAAATTCAAATTTTATATAGTTCAATAAAACTCGGATGGAAAAATTACCAAAATAAAAATGGTAGATGTCAATGAGTTCTACAACTTTGTTTTTGATAACTTTTTCATATGAGTTCATTTACTATATGATAAAATTCGATTCAAAGTTTTTCATTGGATTAAAGAAGGTGGGTCCCAACTGTAAGTGTCCTCCTCTTCCTTTTCTTTCCCTTCTTCTCTTCCTCTTTCTCTCTCTTTCTTATCTCCTTCTCTGCTCTCTTCTCCCCTTTCTTCTCGATTCTCCATGCCAGAGGGGAAGGGGCGGGCATGGCACACGGCGGGGTGGCGGCCTGGCAAGGGGCGCGGCGGCAGGGTGGCGGCCTAGCACGGCGGGGTGCCGGCCTGGCGCGGCGGGAGTGGCACAACGCGGCGGGCGAGACGGCCGGCGCCCTCCCCCTCCCAGATCCAGCGGCGGCGGGCTAGGGAGGGGCCGGTCGTGGCCGGGAGCGGCAGCGGCGGCGGGCGGGAGCTGCGCGGCGCGGCGTGAGCGGCATGGCAGCGGCGGGGGATCTCCGGAGGCTCTGACAACAACGATGGGAGGGGCGGCTCTGGTGGCGGCGGCGGCGAGCAATGGCGACGGCGACAACGAGGACAAGGACGGCTGTTGAGGCTTCGAGCGACGTCGACAGCGACGAGGATGGCGTCGCCGGCGGTGAGCTAGGGTTTCGGCATTTTTGAGATTTTTATTTTTTTTTCGATTTTTAATGTGGCTGATTTGGATTTGGCTGTTGATTTTGATTCGGATATCCGGCAAAAAAAGTCCGGATAGTTTCCAACCGCAACCGAATCCGAGTTCTGACGGATACCATCGCTACTGTATTCGAATCCGTTTCCAAGAAAAACTATCCGAATTCGTATCCGAATCCGAAAATATCCGAAAAAAATCCGACCGAAGCGATCCGTATCCGAAAACACGGTCGGAATTCGGAAATTATCCGTACATCCCTAGCCACGTGGCAACAAACGTCGAACTCAGCCCATCTTGCCGAGGAAGAGGCCCAGGCACGACCCATTTGTTGGGCCAAGCCGACACAGGTCCAACAACAGTCGAGGGGTGTCATGCGGTCCAGGCCAAAAATCTCTGTTCTATGGGCCGGACCATTGGGCTACGGGTCTTTTGGCCAACTATACACCACAGGCAGCCGAGTACGAGCGAAGGGGAGACAAGGTCATACTGTCGCAGCACCATCCCTCTGCTGCAACAGCCATCGCAAGTGTTCCATATCGGCCATGCCAGATTGTCGCCGCTCAAGTCGTCTTTGACTCCTCGTCGACGCCCCGTTAGATCTACCCATAGGCGCCGCTCTATGTGCCGATGCTGCATCGTCGTTTCCATCCTGACTCGGTCGCCGTCGTTGCAACCGCTCCTCCGAACTTCTATTACTAGTATGCCACTCCAACGGTTTTCACCACAGCCCATGGGATGCCCTACCAGATCCAATGCCTGGGCGTTGCCCTCTACACCCTTGGTAGTGGCAAAAATGTCATGCGCCACAACTGCACCAGCCAGCCCAGCTGCCGCTTGCTAACGCCAAGTCTGACCGCATCTACCACCACTGTCCTGAGCCGTGGAGATGGGATTGAGGCCCTCTTTGGATGGGGTAAAAAATCTTTTTATTCCATGTCATATGGGAGTATTAAACATAGACTAATTATAAAACTCATTTCATAACTTTGGACTAATTCGCGAGACGAATCTATTGAGCCTAATTAATCCATGATTAGCCTATATGATGCTACAGTAATATTTGCTAATTATGGATTAATTAGGCTTAAAAAATTGTCTCGCGAATTAGCACTTATTTATGCAATTAGTTTTATTATCAATTTATGTTTAATACTCCAAATTAGTGTCCAAACATCCAATGTGACATGGACTAAATTTTAGTCCCTGGATCCAAACACCACCAGAAAGAGCCCATCACCACCGTCTTTGCACTCACTTGGAACTTCGGCAGCGGCAAGGTCAAGGAAGGCAGGTGTGCGTCGCTTCAGCTAGATTGAGATGGTGCGCACCAAAACATAACCCATACATAGGGGGTGTTTTAGATACAGGGGGTAAAGTTTTGGCGTGTCACATCAGGTATTATGTAGGGTGTCGTATGGAGTGTTCGGGCACTAAAAAAATAATTACAGAATCCGTCAGTAAACCGTGAGACAAATTTATTAAGCCTAATTAATCCGTCATTAGCAAATATTTATTGTAGTACTACATTGTCAAATCATGGAGCAATTAGGCTTAAAAGATTCGTCTCGCAAATTAGTCGCAATCTATGTAATTAGTTATTTTTAGCATATATTTAATACTTTATGTAGGTATTCAAATGTTCGATGTGACAGGATGTAAAGTATTGGGATGGGATCTAAACAGGGTCGTACTTGGGAGTTTTATGATACACTAGGAAGGTAGCCCGCGCGATGCACGGGCATATGTATTAGTTTGTTAAAAACCGGTCTAACAAATTAATTTTAACTTAAAAGTAAGATGTTTTTCATTCGACTTTTTCTTTCAGTGAGCCGAGTCAAATGATGTGGTGTTTTTTTAATTTGAGTTAGAATCGCGCGTGCTCTCTCTCATGAACAGAACATATACGTGGAGTATGTGTGGCTGAATCATGGCTGGCATCATTAAGCAATGGTGGACGGAATCATCTTGAAGTTTTTAAGTAGGTTAAGATTAAGATTAGATCTAATGATTGAAAATATTGAAAAGGCAGTGGTTAGATTTTTTTTAATATAATTTCTGTGAATTTTACACATGATGATAATTACACGTGATTATAATTACATGTTGGTTTAGGGGCATTGGTATGATTGCCACGTGATGATTTTAGGGGCATTTAAAGGATCTAAATTTAATATTTGTTTAATATGGGGCTTAAAAATTTGATCTTAAACATTTATATTAGAAGTTTGAGCTATGTATATGGATCTCGAATTATGTATTTAATTATAAATGACACAATAATTCAAAAAAATAAGAAAAAATGTAACTTGATATTTATGATCATTTAGAAATCTGATTATTAGTTTTTGATAGATTGAGTGTTAACTTAAAAAGTAGCAATTAGCTTAAGAAATAGGAGAGAAGAGGAGAGTTAGGAGGGTGGAGGGAGAACTCAACTACGACGTAGGTGCGCACATATGGAGGTGGCGGTGAGGATGCATGTATTAGATTTTCTTTTTAGATGAAGATCTAATGGTTAAGATTAATAGGTCCATCAATTTTTAAAAGAATAATCGCTAAACATTTATTAGAATTTTTACGATTTTTTTATTAATCTATTAGCTAGAAAATTAAAAGAAGGAAGGAAGGAAAGAAGGAGGGATGTACGTACCGTGGGAGGAGCCCCGGGAGGAAGGAGGCAGTGGAGATGGGTTTTGGATTTTTTTAAAGATAGATCTAATGGTGTATAATATTAGGTCCATCGTATTAAGTGAAAATCGAGGGCAAGATGTTTTTTTTCCTCATAATTTTTATGATTTCTCTAATTTATTAAAGCGTCATGTGACCAGTTAGGAGTGTTTATAGGAAGTTTAATGGGCTTTAGCTAAATAATAGGAAGGGGAAGAGGAGAGGAGAACCCTGAGCTTTTCGGAGAGGGAAGGGTCGATCGATTTAAATAAAACCGATGATCATATGCATTTTTCCCCTAAAAAATAGGTTTTTTTTAAAAAAAAAATTATATGTGAAATGTGAAGACATAGAGGTGTTGTAATGGACACCTCATAGATGATGATACGATATATGTTGTCAATTTTTATATAACGTTTCATTGCTGCTTAGTTATCACGGAAAGGATATGGATTCATGTCTAAAAATATATTTATCATATATCAAGAAAGGCCTATATGGATCAAACTAAAAACTGAATATATTTAAAAATATAATCATTTAGCTATCTATTATTTATATATAATCATTTAGACTATCTGACGATTGGCCACCAGCTATGCCTGTAACAAAGGAACTCACATCCCGTAACTATATCTCAAACAGCTTTTTTTTTACCCATTAGATATGAGATAATTGCAGATGACCCATCGGATGCCTATTTCTATATAAAAACATAGTAAATAGAGTGAATATATGACTTAGCTCATTGATTAATTTAATTAAAAAATACAATCATTCAAGCGTATTGTAAAATCAATGTATATATTGTCCGTAAAAAAATATTAGTGCTTGAACGTTGCACAGACAGCTCGATGCTCCATGCAAGGAAAGATATAACCATTTACAATAATAAGTTATAGTGCATATCTCATAATAACTACCTTAATTAGAAAAAGAAGAAAAAATAAAGAGAAAATGAGGGGAGAGGGATTTTATTTTGATATGATGTTTTAAATTACCGGTGACTATTCTAAATGAAAATCAACAGTTTGATTTTTTTTTTCTCATAATTTCTATAACTTCTTTTTTTTCCCTTTACTTTATCGCTTTTATCACATAAGTCTGTGCTTATGTTTTTCTTCTCGTCCGATGAACAGTAGGTAATTAAGCTTCATCGTTTTTCTTTCAAATGTACATAACGTACTGAATACTTTTTTTTTTCCCTTTTCCGGCCCACAGGAGGAAATCATTACCTTTTTTAAATAATACATTCAATCTAATGGTTTAAAATACAGGGTCCACCAATTTAAGTGAAAATCGATGATGAGATTAAACAGTGCAATGTAAACAGTGCAATGTGGCGATCTAGAGATGTTTGTAGGAGCGTCACGTGACGGCTTCAGAGCGTTTGTAGGGAGTTTATTAAACTTTTAGTATATAATAGATAGATAGATATGCCGTAAAACCTAGGGTTCTCTAAAATCCACTCAATAAGACGTGCATTAGCCAAATGTTTGTGTCCAAATCTCACTAAGAACTGAATACAAAACTACCAGCGCAAGAATAGATTTCAAATCAAAAAATTGGATTCAAAATTTATGCAGTAAATTAATAAGCGAACGACTAGCCGATTACTAGTTTTTACTGGTTTCTTTATAGTTGAAAGCACCAAGCTATATATCTCAAAGGGGAATGAGTCGCATGATCCAAATTCCAAAATAGCAAGGATCGTTGTATGCAACTGGTTAAAAAAACACACCGCTGGATACTATTGAACCAATCAGGAGGCTCACATGATCTACGAGAGAATCCATTTGAAGCAATGAAGAGGCTTACCAGAACACCCCTGTTATTTTTAACTCTATGTTTGGTTAATTAATCAGGTGATCAAATAAAGAATAAAAATGAAGCTTTGACCTTGAATTCATACGAATTCTTTTCCTGGACGTGCACATACGAACGATAAGTCCTACATATATATTTACTGCGCATTGAGATTAAAAATATATCTATATTTACATGTATTTTCTAATGTTCTCAAATTACCCTATGTAGGATACCAAGTGTTTGAAATTTATCCAAATATTCATAAAGTACTATTTGCTCCCATCAATCTCATATGTCACTACTTCCAATTACATCTCAACTCCAACCAACCCTGACTAAACGAGTAATATAAGTCTTTTTCTTTTCTCAACCTTAATCTTTATTAACAACTTATAAAAATCCTTATATTTAAGGACGAAATACAGTTCTCACATAAAACCGGCCCCAAAATTATCAACTTCAATCGTCCACTCGTATACGTAGAACCAAGTCGCTAGTCTTTTTCTGGAAATGTAAAACAATACTGTTCTCTCACAAGGTCCAACCGACCTTTCTTAAATGAAGGGCCCAGATTTGCGCTAATTCACAGATGGCTCCTCTGCAGCAGCAAGAACTAGAGCTGGGGTGTGTTTAGTCCACGCTAAAATTAAAAATTTGGTTGAAATTAAAACTATGTGACGGAAAAGTTAGAAGTTTATGTGTGTAGGAAAGTTTTTGATGTGATGGAAAAGTTGGAATTTTGAAGAAAAATTTTAGAACTAAACTCGGCCCTAATGCAGAGTTTCCGCTTCTACTACCTTCAACTTCAAGTCATTAACAAATCCACAACTGGGCCACTTAAGCAGTAATTTAAATCCTCATCCCGACATATGATTGATTTCCCACCGGCCAAAACCACTGCACGCGCCGATGCAATCAGAATCAATTTCTATTAACATTGACCTCTCGCAGCTCGCGCATGCTCATCTCGTCAACTAATGATGAATGAATCGTGAATTCTCTCTCTCTATAAATGGCTACTAATTCGATCATCCCAAGGCAATAATCCACAGACAGCAAAGGATGATGCAAGCCAAGAAGCCAAGATCACCATTGATGATGCTCATCGCCAAGAAGCCGCTGCTGCTGCTTCTTCTTCTGCTCGTTCTCCTGGTGTTGGAGCCAAGATCATCAGCAGAAGCTAACCTCGTCGGCGTCAATGGCGGAGAGACGGATGAGAGGCGGCTTGAGAGCTTGGTTTACGACGAGCTGCCCTTCTCCCAGCTCGGCTTGGGATTCCCTACCACCGTCGTCGCCGGTGGCTCCGAGGTACGTTAATTACGTACTTAATTAGCGCAAATTCAATTGCTGTAAGAAAGAAAAATCACTCAAATGAGAGGTTAAATTTTTTTTTGGGGAAAATGAGAGGTTAAATTAGGTTCCAATTGACTGAAAATGCAGCAAAGTTTTTTTTAATTGTTCGAGCAAAGGGATTTCTTCGGGTTTTTGTGCTCTTAGATGACATTGGTGAGCGCGCCCATGCACGACACAATGGCATGTTCAGGGAGTTTCCCCGCACGCACTACGATTTCTTTAGGAATCTTTCGCATCTCAAATAATCTAGATTTTTACATGGATTCTGAAGATTGAAAACCTAACATTTTGAGATTCTTATTGGATAGTTATTCGATAGGATAATAGTTGCTTCGCAGAATCTCAAGCAATCCAAATGGGACCTATATATACATACATATAACGGCTCAATTTTCCGTTATACAAATACGTTTGTGATTAAAAAAATTAGTTTAAACCAAAATGGGCTCGCAAGTTGTCTTTTGAGAAATTTCAAACCCTGTTTGTCGCTACCAAACTCTAAGGGCTCTGGTGATCTGTTGCGCGAATATCATCCTAAAATTTTGCCGAATATTTGACACAGAATGATGTGGAGGAAGTTGTGCAAGCATGGTACATGGACGACGACGACAACGCGGAGGAAGACCAGAGGCTTCCTCATCGCCGCCAGCCTGATGATCTTCTTCCTCTCGCCAAATTGCTTGGTATATATATTTATCTACATATTTATCGAGCTTTTTTTTAAAAAAGGTTAATTTTGTTTAGCCTCGTAAGCTTGTTAATTAATTTCTTTCCAGTGGCGCCGATATCCATGCGATGTTTACCACTAGTGTGTATGTATGTGTGTACACACAAAGATGACGAGTTTTTAATTAGTTTTTTTGCAATTTGCAGACCTCGGACTCGTTGCAATGCGATTAGATGCAGATAACCATGAGCACGATGAGAACCTTAAGATAATGCGTGAACAGAGAGGCTACTTGCACATGGTTAGTCTTCTTGCTATTAGGTCAATCTTTACTTTTAAAAAAAGATGCATATGCATGCTTAAATTAGTTTTTGTTTCTGCTTTCAAAATATACTTGCTATTAGGTCAATATTTACTTAAAAAAAGATGCATGCATGACTAAATTAGGTTTTCTTTTTTGTCTGCTTTCAAAATATACTCCTCATATAGACATAAATATTAGATGTTTACGATAGGAACTGGTCAAACTATTGAAACTGTTCATCTATTTTATTTTAAATAAGTTTATCAAATCTACTTCTGCTCCAGAATATAAAAATTTTTAGAGTTTGATACGGTTATTAAGAAAATAGGTAGAATTATATGGGGAGAGGTTGTGATTGGTTGAGAAGTGGAGGTATGTGGAAAAAATGAATGGTGGAGGGTTGTAATTGGTTGGGAGAGAATATTGATGAAGAAATAGTTATATCTTAGATTAAATTCTAAATGCTAGAAATTGTTATATTTTAGGACGGATGGAGTAATAAGTTTATGGTGGTATTGTGATAGCCCTTTTCAAGATAAATATATACATGTCATTTTTTTTGTTACTAAGTATTAGAGAAGTTGGTGGTGTAACTTTTAAAATTTAGATCAAATCTTGTTGTAAATGTCAAATATTTATGAGAGGGAGTAGAAGCTTTGAAATGATTACCTTGTTGTTACATATCTATACTATCTATATAGTTGATACCAACTAACTCCTAAAACTTAACATCTAAATGTGCAACATTATCAGCCACTAGCAATTACTCCCTCTATTTTTTAATATATAATGCCAATGATTTTTTTAAATACGTTTGATCATCCATCTTATTCAATAATTGTATGTAATTATGATTTATTCTATTGTGACATGATTTATAACCGAATGTTCTTTAAGTATGACTTAAAATAGTTTTATATTTGTACAAAAATTTTGAATAAGATGAATGGTAAAACGTTGATTTTTCACATATTAAAAAATGGAGATATTATTATCTAGAGTATTTTAAATACCATGCAAGCATGGCATCTTATTTATAATTTTGTTGTATTTTTAGAACTTGATATACAAGCAATGTCAAATCATTATTTTCATATTATTTAAATGTATACATCTATCATTTATATAATGTATAACATGCATTCATCTACATATCACATAGCAAATCACGGGGTATCAACTAGTATATACTAATAAGTAAATCCACGTCCTATCACTTAATTTTTTGGCATATCCATATGCCATTCATTATTATTTATATGAAAGAAAAATAATAATAATGTGGTTTACCTCTTTCGGAAGGCATCATAGGGGGTGTTTAGATCCAAGGGTGTAAAGTTTTGGCGTGTCATATCGGGTATTATATAGGGTATCGTATGGGGTGTTCGGGCACTAATAAAAAACTAATTACATAATCCATCAGTAAACCACGAGACAAATTTATTAAGCCTAATTAATCCATCATTAACAAATGTTTACTGTAGCACCACATTGTCAAATCATGGAGCAATTAGGCTTAAAAGATTTGTCTCGCAAATTAGTCGCAATCTGTGCAATTAGTTTTTTAGCCTATATTTAATACTTCATGCAGGTGTTTAAACGTTTGATATGACAGGTGTAAAATTTTGGGTGGGATCTAAACACCCACATAGTTTCTCTTTGCAGCAAAGCTGTGATTAATTTGGGCCAGCTCTAGTTAGATCTCAATGGCCATGGATTGTAATCCTACTTATGGCTAATAATGATCAATCGATTATCCAATCTAAAAAATCGAACTTAAGTATATGCATTTTTTGCATTTTCGTAGGACATCGTTGAATTGACCCCAGAGAAAATGCCAAATTATGAGGTGATGATCAAGAGATTCTTCGAAGAACATCTCCACACAGATGAAGAAGTTCGCTATTGTCTTGATGGTAGTGGTATGTGCGAACAATTTACTTTACCTTGATTTTTTGTTATAACGAAACCTTTCATCTCAAAAAACAAAGAAATTTTTTATTTCACTATATTGCTGATTTTGAATTTTGGAATTAATGAAGGTTACTTCGATGTGAGAGATGAGAATGACAAGTGGGTCCGGGTTTCAGTGAGGAAAGGGGCACTCATCGTTGTGCCAGCCGGCATCTATCACCGCTTCACACTTGATACCAACAACTACATAAAGGTAATTAAAGGGCATAGAATTTTCAATTAATGGAACCAAGAAAATGTAATCTGATTGGTTTCTGGTTTATTTCTACAAGATTTTATCAGATTTAACTTTTGAAGGTAGTTGTGCTAACTGCATCACATTAGCTCCGAAAATAGCCAAAGCGATGACAAATATCTCTACTATTGGATTCATAAAGAGCGAATATATAGTTGGTCAGCAAATTCCCCTTGGTCCTTAACAACAATTTTATCCTAACCATGATCATGACATGGTACCCTTTCAAATATTTGTAGTCATTTTCTTTTGTTTCTGAGTGGGTATCAAAAGAATTCCTTGCAGTTCAGTAATCCTTTCGTGATTAATTAACTGACAGATGGGGCCTGGGGGCCTCTTGTTTGGGTTTTTACAGACCATGCGTTTATTTTCAGGTGGGCCAGATTGGACGGCTTACAATCGTCCTCATGATCATCTGCCTGAAAGGTACTCTATTTCACTATGCAGGGATAAATTTCGGGGTTAATCTAAGCTAATTAACCTGTTCCCTCCCTCTGTTTTTTTTTTCTTCAGGAAGAAGTATCTAGAAGCGCTGCATAACAGGACCCCGAGATTTGGACAACTGCATCGAATTCGCTCAAAAATGGAGTAATTTTTATTTTGAAAATAGCATTAATATATACCCATCTTTCCTCATCATTAATAAATTTTAGATTTTCTGCATCCGTCAACTGATGTTGCGAAGTGATTAAGATGGTGGTGTTAGATAGGGTGCAATGGGCCAATGTTTGATCTCTTGATCAAGCAACGACAAGATATATATGGATCATGTATGTATTTTTTTTTAAAAAAAATGTATCATGTATGTAGAACAATTGCTCCAATGCAAGTGTTTGCACTACTGTAGACCTCCTCATGTATAACATTTCAAAACAATCTATCTATAATGGGTATGTCAACTGATACACATTCCATTGATCAAAGGAACCCTTATCTATATATAGCGGCTCAGAATTACGAACCCTTAGATTTCAGGATTTGTCAATTGACGTTATACACAGATATACTCTTGTTAGTAACGGCTATACAATGGCCTATTCATACCTGCCGTTATAGATGAGAGGTAATAGGTGACGTCGAAACCTCATCTATAACGGCTAGGTATTAGCAACCGTTACAGATTATTATAACTGATACCCTTAAAAAAATACAAGTACTTGAGCATACCTGCCACGATTGTAATGGCCATCACGGCACCATCGCCCTTGTTCCACTACCACTTGTCACTAGATTTGTACCCTCTAATTAAGCATAGAGCGGCGGATTCACATATTCCCTCCGTTTCACAATGTAAGTCATTCTAGCATTTTCCACATTCATATATCTATCTAGATTCATTAACATAAATATGAATGTGGAAAATGCTAGAATGAATATATCTATCGAGATTTATTAACATCAATATAAATGTAGAAAATGCTAGAATGACTTACATTGTGAAACGGAGGAAGTAGTTCTTAAGCTTGGATCAACCGGATCCAACAGCCTTAAGCTTAAGCAATCGGGTCCAACGGTAGAAGGAGAGGGGGTCACTAAACAGGTTGAATCATATGGCCCATGGTTATCATCGATTGTAATATTTTGCATACCTAAAAAGCATTTCTTATTAATCTTGCATTCCTAAATATAACTGTAAAATGTACAACCATTTAAAATTTGTCGATGATCAAAACTTAAAATTATAGTACTAGTTGAGGCAATAATATGTTATTGATGTCAGAACACAGGATATAATGTCACATGAACTGTCTACTGGTTCATTTTACGAATCACTCTTGGTTTCGAAGAAATCGGATTGTGAGGAGGATTAATTACTTACTAATTTTCTGTACCGCATTACTTATAAAGTCAATAAGTCAATGATATGCACATGCATAGCTTGAACCGTTTGCCGCATCATCATCATCATCCTTATTCGCCGTAGTACTGCTCCACGAAGAAACGCATGTACATCATGATCGCGTATGCCACCACCTCACATACCCTAGATACGCTCCTACTCCGTACGCCCGCCGGCTTGGCACGACCACCAGGATTCACAATTCCGAGATGCCCCTCCAAAATTTCGAGGTTTTGATGAGGCTCGAAAGTAGAAGCCATATGAGATTTCAATGAGTTTCTAAATTCAAATTTGAATTGATAAAAAAAGAAAAAATCAAATAAAATCTTATAAATAGTATAATATTTATAGAACCTATTAGGATATAAATTTCTGAAAAAATTGATGTATTCCGTATATTTACTGAAATTTATAGTAGGACAGAAAAGAATAACAAATTAAAAAGGAAAAAAATCAGTTTACCTCTTTTTATAGTTACCGATTGAAATTCCGATGATTTCGCTCAGAATTTCGCCAAAGCCGACCGGTTTTCACGAGGTTATTAGTAAACTCAAGTAATTTGTATACAAATTTTGGTTTATGAAATTTGTTCGGAATCTATCGGCTTTCCACTGGATTTCACGAAAACCATCATTCCGCTAGAGCCCGAAACGAAAGGCCATCTTAGAATATCATCGCCGCCACCCATGTTGTGTACTTGTCCACGCCATCACTACCATCAGCCATTGCCACTGCGCAACGCAACGTACTTTGTGCTACGTGGCGACTGGAGAGTTTGGAGAGTGAGCCGCTTATAAAAAGCATGGGATTGTGTCAGGTTGGGTGGAGGACTTGGACTCGCACTTGAACTCATGCTGATGGTAGCTGATGGCCTCATCCTTGATGGCTTGGCTTGGCGATACGGAGAGGAAGACATAGGAGGGAGAGAAGAGAGATGTTGAATTGGACCACTGGAGGTAGAATAGGCCCGAGAGAAACAATTCGTAAAGATAAATGGTCCAAAGTGAAAAGGTATGTTGTTGCTAGTCTAACTTTACAACCATGGTAAAAATATGTGGTACAACGTACAAGTTACTATGGATAGATATATAGATACACATACTCTCTTCGTCTTTAAATACTATTCATCTTCAAACTTAATTAGGTTCACCCATATTTTTGAAGAATATATTTTAAAAGTTAAAGGTATACCATATTAATCTTTGCATCCTGAATGAAATTCTAAAATATGCAAACAATCAAAACCTAATCATTTAAAATTTTTGATGATCAAAATTTAAAATTACGATACTAGTCGAGGGGCAATAACATGGTAGTAATATGTGTAGTTATGTAAGAATTGAACGTAATATCACATGAAATGTCTACTGATTCATGTTACAAATCTCTATTGGTTTTAAAGAAATCGGGTAGTAATAAAGAGGATTAATTACCTGCTAATTTTCTATACCAAATTTAATTATAAAGTCAATGAGTCTATAAGTCAATGATACACATGTGCACGGCTTGACCCGTTTGCATCATTATCATCCTTTTTCACTGTAATACTGCTCCAAGAAGAAACGTGAGTACATCTTAACCATACGCCGCCACCTCACGTACCCCAGGTATGCCCCTACTCCGTGCTCCCGCATGCTCGGCACGACGACCTCAACGACCGAACCCATCGCTTTCCGCGGCCACACCCACCCCTCATCACCAAGCGCACCAACATCGTCACAGTCATCCAGCTGATGTAGCACGCACAACGAGTCCCGATCCTCACCGCCACCACGACGGTAGGTGCACCGCAGCGTCCTCGTTGGCGGGGGCGGGCCGTCGGGGTTCTCTGGCGCGTAGTCGCTGTTGTTCCGGCAGAATATCGTCGCCGCCACCCACGCCGCGTAGTCTTCCATGCCCCCACCCTCGCCGTCAGCCATCACTGCCGTCACCGCCGTGTTGCAGGTACAACGTATAATAGTGCCGTACTTTAGGCTACGCCCACGTGGCGAGTGAGCCGCTGCTTATAAAGAGCGGGGTCGCGTGGTCGCGTGGAGTGGAGTTGCTACTCGACTCGGACTCGTGCTGACGTGGTGGAGTCGCGTGCGGGGGGAAGAGACCGCGAGAGACACGGGAAGGGGGCAAAAAAAACATTAAAAAAAAGAGAAAAAAAAGGCCGAGGCGACCGGGCCGCGGCCCGACTCCGGCGAGGTCGTCGACCAAGGCCGCCGAGATTCGTCGGGATTTCTCGCCAAAAATAGCAAAGGCGGCGGCGGCGGCGGCGGCGGGGATGGGGATGGCGCGGGCGCGGGCGCGGCGGTTGCTGCCGCTGCTCACCTTCGTCACGCTCGGCATGATCCTAGGTGAGTCGCCGTCGTCGGCTAGCTAGCTCTGAGGAGGAGCAGCACGCGCCCGTGTCGATTTGGGGATCAGGGCGAGCTCTGCCTCGCCGCCGTGGGGTGCTCCGCTTGGTTGGTTTGGTTGATGCATTTTTTGGGGGCGGGGGCTGTGTTCCTCACTGTGGCCATGATTTGGTCGGCGACTGATGGTTTGGGGTGCTGGGCTGAGGGCTGAATCTGACACGCTTGGGTTTGCTGGATTTGATGGGAAATAGCCTGAAAATTTTGCCAGTTCGTGGCTTCCTGCGGCTGCAGTGGAAGCATGGCAAGTGTTTGGCATGGCGGCCCAGTGCCTGTTGACTTGTTGCCATCCGCATGGATTTCATGATGGGCGCAGGGATGCCAGCCATTGTCACTTGTGTGTGAGCCAGTGGTAAGGGCTAGTTGGTGTGCTACTGCTAATGAGCTTTGATTGGTCTGGTTTCTGGTCTCGCATCACTAGCTGGAAGCTACTTAAGTTTGAGCCTACATGGTGGTGCATGCCGTAGCTCAACATATGAGCGGTCGAAATAATTAAGCTGTACTTATTCAGGTGTTCACGGTCTTATGGTACTGGAGCATCCGATTCAGCACAGTGTGTCCTAGCAAATTCAAGTAAACACTATATTTGCCTTTAGTTTTATCTGTTCTGGACGAAAGATTAGGCCTACTGGGTCATTGAGTATAGTTTATTTCCATTTTGCTCCCTTTTCTGCAAACCTTGGCACTTTATTTCAATTAGTATTGCCATTGGTCGCGTACAAATTTATATGTGCTGCTTCAATGAAATAATTGTCTCATCTTGCTTTGTTCTACACAATTTCAGGCTCTTTACTTCAGTTAGCGTTTTTCCGCCGGATAGATGATCACTCAAGTATGTCTATCCTCCCTTTTATTTATTGCATTCTAATAATACATGCGTGCACCTTCTCCTCCCTCTACTTCCAATATAACTGGAACAACCTTGTACTTGTCTTTTGTGGCATTATGCATATGCTTGTTATTGCTCAATCCATGTCAAACGAAAAACTTTTTTAGTGCCAGCAATTCAGTTGAGCATAGGGCTGCATACCTGCATCTGAGTAAATCAAAATCCAGAGAACCATCAATTACATGCTATACACTTTACTAGTCTTTCCTCGGTGATTGTGTGTAACCAAGCGTGAGGCGTTCTGCATGGCAGATGTAACACATTTGGAGAATGATCAAGAAGCAGCTTTTCTCCGTCTAGGATTGGTATGTAATGCTACTTTCTGAAATGCTTGAGGCCTAATCTGTATATATGCCAATAATTTTTTTTGTAAATTTACAACACAAACATCAGATAAATTTGGGGATTTGAAGTCTATTAGGCAAGTTTGAGGAATAAACTGACAGTGGAAAGCTAGTCTTAGCTTTGTTTACTTCTTTATATATTTTGTCTATTTTCTACAAGTGGCCAGATAAAATTGACTTGATTCGTTTCCAATTTCGATATTTATTAAAAAAAATGAGCTTCTTATATGCGCAAAAGTGTGTCTGTTCATTTTCAATATCATCTTGTGTTGTGTGCTCTGGAATTTAACTGGGTTTTGATCATGTTACATGATAAAAAGAAAATTATATCTATCAACTGCTTAATTTGCAAAAAGGCTAGCAAGTTGATTTGGTTCATATGCAATTGGTTGGAAAATAACAGAGATGAAATGTCAAGTATGATGGTTCCTCCATTGATTATGCATGCAGTTATGAAGTGAACTGTGATATGGAATAGGTTCTTAGAACTTTCTTTTATCAATATAATAGATGTAAATTTTTAATGATTGATCAAATAGGATATAGCTCTATATGTAGATGTAGAACCATGTAAAGCTTTGTTGTGAGGTTTAGCTTGAGATGTAGGAACTTTTCTAAACCTTTATTCTGACAGGGTTTAGAATCTACTGAAATTGTTTTCTTTTTTTAAAAAAAATGGAAGAACATTCTCTCAGCCTCTATAAGCTGAAATAAAAATTTTGTTCTTCTTTGTTGCAAGATTGTATATCTTTTGTTGACCAATGAGCATCCATTCATGATATGGTGTGTTTTATCAGTTTCACTTTGTATGGGCAATTGAGCACGTTATTTTTAACCTTTTTTAGTCTTCTTTTGCAACTTAATTTGTAGCAGGCTCAAAACACAAAAAATCTAATGACTTCAATTTGTTCATAATCTGTAGGTGAAGCCTGAAGTCATCAGCTGGTCACCTCGGATAATTGTCTTCCATAACTTTCTTAGTTCTGAGGTTGGGCCCTGTCTCTTGTAGTTTGGTGTTGCTAAATATTTTTCATCAGCTCTTGTATTTGGTGACTCAGGCATATACTTCCCTTGCTATTTGCATGTATCCAAAGAAAAACTGTAAGCCCAGGCAACAACATTATATGCATAAACCACCAATCTGGTGGACAATGGCCAAAATAGTTGTTGCTGAGTATACTTGTGCTAATCTTTGCAGGAGTGTGATTATCTAAGATCAATTGCTAGACCAAGACTACAGATTTCCACTGTAGTGGATGTCGCAACAGGAAAGGTACATTTCTTGCCTTATACTTAGAATGTGGAATGTCTCTTTGTATCTCAATGTTAGATAGCTATTATTTTCTATAATAGTTGCTTTCTACTTCATAGCAAGTGGAAGGTACATTCTCTTTGTATCTAAATATTAGATAGCTATTATTTTCTATAAAGTTAGTAGATTTATAAAGTTCAGATGATAGTTGATAATGTATTTCTTTCTTTTTCTATTTCTAAATCTTTGTAAAACCTTTGTGTCAACATTCCTCTCTTCATCAAGGTTGAGGAAAAAAAAGTTTGAGCATTAATACGATCTATTTTTTTGGAGAGAAAACTGAGGTTTTTCTTTTTATTGTGTGATCTGCTTTATGGAACCATTCGTAATGTTTATTAAACGATTATTTATAGCTCATATTTCTCAAATGGTTCTGAGGATTTTGCTGTTGGCAATCATAGAACCCTCATCTATTGGGTTTTTTTGTAGTTCTCTATTTCTGAAACCCCGGAAATATTTTTCATGTCCTTTTAATATTTCGGTTATTGCTAACTTGGCATATTTTGTGGAACAGGGTGTTAAAAGTAATGTCCGTACAAGTTCTGGTATGTTTGTGAGTTCTGAAGAAAGAAAGTTACCAGTCATTCAGGTCCGTTCATCATACCCCAACTGTAGGTGCCTTACTCCTTGCCGCTTATTGCTTCATGTGAAAAATTCCCTTTATACTGTTGAGAGAAATAACTTGGTCTTCTCAGGATATGTCTGTACTGCAACAAATTACTTTGTGAGGGGGGGGGGGGGTGTTAATTGGTTGTTAAGTTGCCATTACTTGACACCACAAATACAAGAGTATGTTTATTGGGTGGCTAGAAACGGGTCATCTTCTCTTCATATTTCATAAGTTTGACATAAAAAATGATATTATCATTCGTTTCCTAAATTGACTGCATTGTTTAGTTTAAAATCAACATACAAAATGGGCCACACCTAGACTGCCATTTAACTACTTTGTCCTTTTCTTTTATCTGTTAGGTCAAAAGAAGAAGAATGTATGAGATTTTCCTCGCTCCTAATTTTAGATTCAAACTAAGGTACTAGTACATCCTATTTAGAAATTGAACCAAAATTTGGTACTGATATAATTTTGCGATTATTTATTATTTGTCTATTACAACGTCAAAATAAAACCAAAACCATGGACCTAAAAGGTTATGTAGAACTAACATACCTTTTGTATCAATGCAAAAGTTATGCTAATAGAATTTGTAGCTTCTGTTCGTGTTGCCAAAAGTACCAGCAACAGCACATGACATATACTTAGAAATATTTTTGGCGGCAATGAAACTCTGATTCCTGACATGGTACTTATGGATCAAACTGTTTCCTTTTATGGCATGGTCCCTCTAACAAAAAATGTAGCTTGTGTTTATTCCTACTCCACCAATGTCAACTACTCACTTAATGTATAAAATCTGACAAATTCCCTGAACTACTGCAATACAGAAGTAGCTGACATATATTTATGTTATATTTCTGTGGTAATCCTGAAAAATTTTAACGGTGCATTTTAATGCACCGTTAATGGATAATTTCACAGGAAATTTTGGCTTTTGCTGACACTATTACCTAATTATGCTATCAAATTATCCAACAATGCATCATCCATTGCTTTAAATTGCCCTTGTCACATGTTCGACTGAAATCTGTGTCAGTGGGTTTAAACCTTAGTAGTTGAATACTTCATTCTTCTATCATTAATGTTTGCTTTGCTTTCTCCAGTCTATAGAGAAGAGGATTTCTGTGTACTCTCAGATACCTGAAGAAAATGGAGAACTCATCCAAGTATTACGGTACTAGAATAACCGACAGTATTTTTTCCCCTAAGTTCTTTGCCTTGATTATTAATCAATCATTTTCAAGCTAACTTCAAGTACTACAGGTATGAACCAAGCCAATATTACAGGCCACATCATGATTACTTTTCTGACACTGTAAGTTGAACTCCCTTTATATGCTATGGAGAGCAGAGAGCTATAGTTTCCTTTGCCGTCACTAGGCTAGTCATTACCTCCGTTTTTAAATAGACGGCGCTGTTGACTTTTGGATATGATGTTTGACCATTCGTCTGTTCAAAAAGGCTATGTAAATATCATTTATTTCATTATTCCTTGTTTTATCATTAAAGGTATTTTAAGCATGACTTATATTTTTGCATATTTGCACTAAAATTTTAAATAAGATGAATGGTTAAACGTCATGTCCAAAAGTCAACAACGCCATTTATTTAAAAACAGTGGGAGTAGTAGTAGTAGTAGTACATTTAACCAAGGAAAAAGCCCACTTTTGGCCCTTCAGCTCTTTCTGTCGACAATGAAGGGGAAAAGAGGAAAAGGTGGCTAACATGTTAAACGTCTTATGAATTTTCTTATCCAAATCATCATCTATAGCCAGCTCAAGTGCCAGCTAAGATGACACGTCAAGCAAAAATGCCCACAAGATCTACTTTGGGGTTTGATTTGACGAGTTTTGATGTTAGAAAATGTAATAAAGTTGGGTTTGAATTTAGGGTGGATTAGTGGGAACTATAGTCTGAAAAGCTTAGAGACCAAGAGTGCATTTTTCATTTAACTAGCAATGCAAATCAATAAAACCATCCCCCGCAAAAAAAAAAATCAATAAAACCATGAATATTTAATCTGCAGTTCAACATCAAACGTGGGGGCCAGCGAGTTGCAACAATGTTGATGTATTTGACTGATGGTGTTGAAGGGGGTGAAACCCATTTTCCTCAGGTTAGCTGAATTATACTGACATAGCTTCTTACAATATCAAAAGCTCTGTACATTTTTCTTCTGGTTCAGCTTTACTTATGTTTGCTCATTTATGCCATAGTTCTTTCCTTGGATCTTATCAGCACAAAATGTGGTCAAGTGCCACTCTTTGTTGTGCAGCACATTCACGCTATCTTTTTTATTTCCATGTTTCTCTTGAATATGTAAAAATTATTGAAACAATTTATGAACATGTATCTGTTGTCTATACAAACCATGTGATACTAGTATACTATTGGTTATCACTGAGCACTGTAGCTGTCTGGAAAAATTTTTCCTGGCTAACAAAAGCGCCATTCTTTTTTGGCATACTCCTAAGTCATAGCTGTACCAGCAGATAACTTTTTCATGCTTCAAGGGAAACTACTGAATCCACTGGAGGAATTGGTTGTGTTGATTATGGTAACATCAGCTTACAACTCGACCTCTGTGCTCTCATATGGCCACAATAACTGCATTGGCAATGTGGAATGCAATCCTAAGAACAACGCAATATGTAATTGGCCTCATAGTTGATCTGTCAGATGTTTAAGGCCCTTGAGTTCAAATTATCTTTGAATCTCATTTTTAGGTGAATAACCCTTTGCATGAGCAATTTGCAGCCATGCTTTCCCAGCCTTAGGTTCTTCTTTCCTCGTTTACACATCTTCTGATACATGGCATGATGTAACATGTCGTGGGGCTGCTTCATCCGTCTTTGTTTAGCTTTTATGTTATATGATTTGTGGTGTGCTTGCCTGATATTCTGAATTTATCACCTCTGTTCCAGGCAGGAGATGGTGAATGTAGCTGTGGCGGGAAGATGGTCAAAGGATTATGTGTCAAGCCAAACAAAGGAGATGCTGTGCTATTTTGGAGCATGGTGTGTTATAATTTGTTCTAGATAAAGCATGAACCAAAACACATTCCATTGTCATTAGATCCAGATATTTTCTTAAATTGTCAGTGCTCCGTTAGTCAACTAATTTCTTCGGCTTCCATGCTAATTTGATTGTTTCAGGGACTCGATGGTGAAACAGACTCAAACAGCATTCATGGTGGGTGCCCTGTTCTGGAAGGGGAGAAATGGTCAGCTACGAAATGGATGAGGCAAAAAGAATTTGTTTGAGCGAAAGATGAGGCGAAGAATGATGCCTTCTAATTTCTGGCTATGCAGATATGGAGCTATATTCTTTCTATTATATGTAATGAAACGTTTCAGGAATCTTGCAAGCATATGAAAGTTCAATAACCCCACGTTCATATTTCGTTTTACGTAGGCAATTTTAGCACCGCACACCACTGTTATTATCCTTCCGGCTTCAGCAAGGTGGTAACTGGGACAGGCGCTGGATGGGGAAAAAACGAATTAATTTATTTTTTCCATATAATGTACAATTATATAACAATGAAAACTAGCACGGTTTTTGGAAATGGATTTTCAAATCATAATCAAGGTTCAGTGAACCGTCCGCTGGAAACTGCTCCCGAGTGTTGTTATCAATTTTTTGTGAAAGTCAGTTGAATCGTCGAGTAAAAAGTTCAAGCCGGCAATTTGTGATGCCATGAGAACGGCAATATGAGATCCTGTTGGGACATTGGAAGAGGAAAGGTGATACTTCATACTTGGTTGAAATTCTGTTCAATTTCAACTGAAATCCATAAAAGTTATAAGGTTCCAGAGAATTAAAGAAGGCCTAAGGGCAAGTTATGGTTGAGCTTTGGTTCGAACTCCAAGCTTCTTTGCGTCATAATAGGTCAACCATTAATATTATGGCTCTTTTGGTTCAATTCAAATTGTCCTACCTAGTTGGTAACTTAAATAGTACTTTGCCTTGTAGTTATGATGCCAATATTTGCCAACGCCAAAAACATACCAAAAAATTTGGTATGTTTAAGACTTGCCCAAGATTTGATACTACGGGCATATTTAGAGAGTTTAATATACTGAGGAGTAGCCGATTGGTAGTTAGTTTCTTATAATCTAGATAAAAAGTTGGACTATTTGGGGGAGTTTATAATTCTACGAGAAATTACAGCAGTCAGAAGCACCATTTAACAGTTTAAAAAGCGTGCGCGCGAAAAACGAGGGAGGTGAGTTGGGAAAGTAGAGATAAGAACTCAGCCTTAGAGTAACTTCGAAAATTAGGTTTGCCAATATTTGCTGGCTAATGTACCATCATACCCTAAATTTTACAAAGCTTAATTAAGTTTCATCAAATCGTATAAAGTCACATCTGGTTTTTGATTGCCTTTGAAGTTCTACGGGGCAAATTCTTGGAATCTGATGGGATTCCATCCCCGAGTGACAATGCAATCAGTTACAAGTTACAACTTCAATCCAATTCTAATTTTTGAGTAACAAAAATACTCTCCGTTTATTGAACGGTAATTTTCATCATAGCAATATTACAGAAATATTTACCAAGAATTAGTTCAATTGCTCAAAAAGAAAAATCTTCCAAAAAAAATCCTCCATTTCAAAGAAGACAACGAGTAAGGTAAGCGCAGGTGGTATGGTGGTGGAGTCGTGAGTACATCAGCGATAATTTTGGTCTTACTAAAATTATGTTACAAACTAGCCTGCATTGACTTCACCCACCAGGATTCAAAATACCAGTGTCTACAAATATTACGCATATACAGGGCTAGAGTAAGACCAAAATTATCGCTGATTTCCGTCTCTTTAAACGCAATCCTAAACAAGGTGTAAGCGTGTGGTGTTGCGCGTGCGGTGACGCAAAAGGAAGACATCAAACACACTGAGTAGCAAACCGACCTCCGCAGCTTCACGGAAGGCCAGGATGCAACGATCATCCAATGGACGGTCCAGATCCACCGCATCCACGTATAAAATCCATCGCCTCCTATCTCGCGCGACCCCCTCTTCTTCCAGCCCTAGCCCCCCTCCCCCCCGCGCCGCCACCACCTCGCTCTCCGCCGCCGCCGCCGCCGTCTCCAACTTCAAGATGGTACGTACGCCGCCGCCGCCGCTTCGATCTCGATCCCTCGAATCGGCCGCCTCGCATGGCTGCGCGCGCCGTTCGTTTGATCCGTGAATGATAACCGCGATTGATTTTTGGGTTTTTGTTTGTTTGTTTGTTTGTGTTTGGGGGAACGAGCAGGTGCTCTCGAACGACATCGACCTGCTTAACCCGCCGGCGGAGCTGGAGAAGCTCAAGCACAAGAAGAAGCGCCTCGTCCAGTCCCCCAACTCCTTCTTCATGGTACTACGCGCCGCCCTATGTGTGGATGAATTCTCTTTGCACGGCAAGAATCTTCTAACTGCTGAGTTTTGCCCTTGTGTGCAGGATGTCAAGTGCCAGGGCTGCTTCAACATGTACGAGCTTCTTCTTGATCCGCTCACTCTCTCTCCATTGTTAATTTTTCTGTTGTTATGTTACTTGTTACCGCCCTTTGATGCTTGATGTGTGAAGATTGAGATAAACTGTTTTTAATTTTAGTTATGATTAAGGATGGTTTGTAGAGTAGGTTTAGATATGAATTAGAACTGGTTTGCAGAGTAGTCTTAGATATGAAATTGATTCTAGCAAGTGAAACCATCGCTCTTTTATTGTTGGTATGCATTGTTAATGCGTTGTGTTGTAAGTAAGTCGGATAGCCTAGATAAGAAATGGAAATTAGCGTGGTGATGATACTGCTCTTGTTATCGCTTCAACAGTCAAGTGCTTTTGGCATGTTTTGGCCCCAAAACGACCAGTCCCCGTGAACCCCTGATAATCTGGACTTAAATCAGATGTACATGAAAAAAAAAATCACACCATAGGTCGCCCAATCGTTGAGGTGATCATGAATTCATCATTCGCACTTGTAATATTGTACATAATTTTGTAGAATGGCAAATCTGAAATGTCCAATTCTGCTTTGTGATGTATCCGGCTTGTTTGTATAATTGTATTGATGATCAACCAATTCAAAGAAACCAGAAATTGGTGCCATCTCTAAGCAATATAATTTGCCTAACTTTGCTTTAGACATCTTGATCTAATGTTGGCATCTTCTAACCTGTATGTCTTGCGGTGATTGCAGAACGACTGTATTCAGCCACTCCCAGACCGTGGTTGTGTGCCCGGGCTGCCAGACCGTGCTCTGCCAGCCTACTGGTGGGAAGGCCAGGCTCACGGAGGGCTGCTCCTTCCGCCGGAAGAGCGACTAGGTTAGGCTGTGTGGCTTGTTGTTACTGGGACAGAAATGCCCTGCTGAACAATACTATCCCGTTACCCTTCCTGATGTGTACTCCATAAATTTTGTTAATTATGCCTACCTGTTTACTGCCCTGCATGATGTAGCAATGCGTTATGTATCTTGCATTTTGTGCTGGAGAAAGCTACTTCGTATAATGCGTGCCCCTCCACCTTGTTCAATTCTCTCTGTATCCAAGATTTTGGTTTTTGGTTTTAGCCTTGCGTTGCTCATGAGACTAATTTGCTTAGCTGCAAAATATTTTGTTACAGTGCCAAGTACCTGGATATATTGTCATGCATTTCCTTCTTAGAATGACATCAAGGGCACAAAGTTTCATGTTACACTTGTATGATATACAGGTGACATGTTGTACAGATAGGTTTGTTTATCTTATACCATGTAGTTAGTGATTGGGTTCTGTGTACAGGTAACAGTCTGTAACTTATCACCTTTAATTTCGTCAATACAAATGCTACGTGGTGGGGCTGATTGGTGTTGCAATATTTGTGTTTTACCCCAATTTGAATAAATAAAATTTGATGTCAGGTTTCTTGGATGATTTTATTTTGCTCTAGGTCTCGAAAAGTTTAGGGTAGATTGTAGCCAAAATAAACCTTACTAAATTTTGGCAAGTTGGTAATATTGTTAAAATTTTGACAGAATTTTTTATGTATTTACTAAATTTGGTAATAAACTAAACGTAGATAATTTTTTTTATAACTTTGCTAAAAAAAATGGTATGGGTGAAAATAACATCAATGTGAACAGTCCCTTATAACCGGCCCTGGGTCTCCCTCCTATCTCTTTCACTGGTATGTGGAATTACTCCGGCTCTTCTCTTTCTGTTTGTCTTTTCCGTCATTTTCCTGAGCTCGAGCTGTGGTGAAGACGGTATTACTATCAGGGTTTACGATTCCGACGAAATCCGGTCGGATTTCGTGAAATTTTGATGTTTTGATGAGGCTCGAAAGTAAAAACCGTTTGACATTTCGAGGAGTTTCATCCAAATTCAAATTTGAATTGATAAAAAAAGAAAAATCAAACAAAATCTTATAAATACTATGATATTCATAGAACCAATTGTGATATAAATTTTCGAAAAAAATGATGTATTGTGTGTTTTTATTGAAACTTACATCAAGAAAGAAAATAATAATAAAGAATTAAAAAAGAGACAAATTACCGATCGGAATTTCGTCAAAAACGACTGGTTTTCGAGAACTTCGGCAAATTAAGGGATTTGTATTCAAATTTTTGTTTATGAAATTTGTTTGGAATTTACCGGTTTTTTATCAGATTTCACGAAATTCCGAATTTCGCCGATGACTGAAACGGAAGGGCATGTCGGAATCGTAAACCCTTATTACTAACTACACAAAAAATCATATCGAAGTATATCCAAGTCCAAGACTCCAAGAGATAAGAGCTTATGCCGAAAAAAAAAACTAACCAAAGCAAGCAAAATCTTGCAGCAATTAAGGGCCCCTTTAAATCGCAGGATTGAGAAAACGTAGGAATAGGAAAAACGTAGGATTTTGATAGGAATGTAAGTGTAAAACAGAGGATTGCAAAACGCAGAAAAAACACATGAATGACCGTTTGATTGAACGCAGGAAAAACAAAGGAATGACCGTTTGATTGAACCACAGGAAAACAACAGGAATTGGATGAGAGACATAGACTCAAAGGAAAGTTAGCAAGAGGTTGAAGCTCTTGCTAAATTTCCTCCAAAATCTCTATAGAATTGTCCATTCCATAGGAATTTTAAAGGATTAGATAGGATCCAATCATTTGTTTTAAAGGGCTTCATAAAAATTTTACTATAGGATTGAAATCCTCTAAAATTGAAATTGTGGGATGAATGCAGTTATTCATCGCCCTGGAGTCGTTGAAAGGAGGCACGCTGCATCTCACCATGGGGGCAAGTCTAGGCCTGGTAGGTTGGTATTGCCGTCCATCGCCATAGCTCGAGCTTTCGTTAGTCCATGCTGATGGTGATTTTTATTTTTGAACCTTTTTTTAATTTTAAAAATTAACTCTTTCAAAACTTATTTTTAAAATTTGACACGCCACACCGGTTTTGCTAATTAGCTTGTACACGCAACTTCTCTAAGTCGTGCCGCGTGGTGGACCCTCGTCACCTGCACATGGGTCTGGTGGGCACGAACGTCAAGAAAACGACAATATAAAATCGTGATTAGCGCTGGTTATTGATTCCATCTAGTCTAATTTGCATTAGTGTTGGTAATTGCACCCGTACTTTCAATTCTGCAATCTCCAACTCAAATTTCAAAACTTTCATCCCAAAGTTTAAAAACTTTCAACTTGCATTCAAAAATTTCAATCAAATTTCAAAACTTTAATATCAGATTTCAAAAACTTTCAACTAAAAATTCAAAATTGTCAACTTAAATTCAAAAACATTCATCTCAAAATTCAAAAACTTTCATTTCAAAATTCAAAACATTCAACTCGAAATTCACAAACTTTCAATTCAAATTCAAAACTTCCATTTGAAAATTCAAAAATTTTAACTCAATATTTTTTTTTCATTTTTTATTGTTGAAGGCTAAATGATGAGATTAGAGAAGGGATTAGACCTAAGCATTACAGGTGTAGCGCTAAGTGCTAGAATTAGTAGGGGAAGCCAATAAGTGCGCCACTTACCATTCTAGCGTGTGTGTGCGCGCACTAGGAATCCTCGACCACATAGCGGGTGACAGTTTTATCCTTCTACACCAGTGAGGGTGGCGTGACCAAATAATGTTATCACGCTAGCTAGACTAGCGTGGCAGTGTTGTTTTGCCACGCCAGTCAGCCTGACATGACAATCTCGCGCTTGTACCATGCCGCCATTCTACACCTCGCCATGAGCCAACCTCAAGCATGGCATGCAGCCACGACCCACGAGCGTCGTCGTCCATGGTTAGCCGGTGAACTTGACAAGGCGTACAGGTGGCCAAGAACGCAGCAAGTGACGGCATACTCCAACTCGACAGCATTGACCAGTTGCGCGAAGGGAGATATTTAACTATTTACCACTCTTACAAGTGGCAATTAAGGATTAATCATTGGACACACATATCATAGACACATGAGGGCCCACATATTGTAGACTGCGAGTGATAAATCCTTAGTTAGCATATCTTAAAAGTAACAAATAGTTAAATGCCTCGTGTGAAGGAGGACCACGATGGGTAAATCGTCAGTTCGTGGATCACGATGCTACATCGACTAGCTAATCACGTGACTCGTGCACGTAGTGGACCAACATTTTCATGGAGCTCGGCGACTAATTAAAGCAAGGATAATAGTAAGCCATAAGCAAAGCTATATGATTGTATAGCAGAGATGGGTAAAGAAAAATAAGAAGTGTTGACTCTCATACAAGGAGTTGCTCCACACATGCTCCAATAAATAGGTAATCAATTCGTAGTGAAAGAAAAAGGGATGAGGAAAAAAAAAGAGAAACTTTATAGCTAACCTATTATATATACATATTAGCTCTACAATATTCTTTTAGCTAGAAGTGAGCACTGCTTTTAAAGGTGCTCTTAGTCACTCGTTACCCCTCTCTCTCTCTTCCCCTCTCTCAGCGCATCATCCGAGTCTATGTGGCAATGTTGCCATCGACAATCAGGCCACTACTGTACCTGCTTTTATCATCATGCCAATTATCATCTCCTGCACTACCCGTTTTGATGAGGATTAGGGTACCAATCTTCCGTTAGGAACTGATAAGTCGATTGTGGAGACTCAACGTTGATGATCCATATATGAAGTGACAATTTTTATATGAGTACTATATAAAGTGACAATTTTTATATGGCAAATATTGTATCCGAGTAATAGCCTTTTTTTGGCATGAGGGAGTAATATTAATGCAGATTACAAAACGTGACTAATTTAAGTACAATAAACTGCCATTGATCAAGCTCATGAATTACCACGAGGTGCCAGATGACGTGATCATGGAGTTCTATGTTCAGGCTAATATACTTAGAAGCCAAGGAGGCATAAGACAAACCATCAAGGCCGCCTACATGACTATTTGGTTAGATGACTTCGATTCAATTGTCAATTCTATTTGGATGAAACAAGGAATAATTGTACAATTCTGGAGTTTGCTTTTTTGATACGGATCAGTTATTCAGATTAATTTGTGCCCAAACTCAGCCTCTGTCTTGTACCTATAAACAAAACATCGGAGTATGGTACTGCCATCGCAAAATCAATTGTAACCAGTTAATACATGACAAGGATCAAGTATAAGAAGTCAGTACGACACCTCACCAGTGGCACATACATATGTGATGTTTGTGTGCAGCACTGCCACCCAGCCGACACCGACGACGATGAAGCTGCAACTGTGGCCCGAGGAGATCAACAGTGGCGGCACGGCATTCACATTCTTTCTGGGCAAGCCTCGATGGACGCGGCAGCGCATGCTGCTAACATAAACCGTGTCACCGATGGCCATTGACGACCACCTTCCGCGGGATGACGTGCGGGAGGTGTCATGAATTTCTATATTTAGGCTACTATACTTAGAAGCAAAGGAGGCATACACCAAACCATCAAGATTGCATACATGAATCTGTGTTTCGATGAGTTCAATTCAAGTACAAATTCTATTAGGAAAGAACATGAAATACAAGTATAATTTTGGTGTTTGCTTTCCGAAATGGATCAGTTATTTGAAATAATTTGTGCCCAAACTATGCCTTTGTCTTGTACCTACCAACAAAATATCGGAGGTCAGTAGTGTTGACGGAGCGTGGGGCTCCTCACCGGGAGACCGCGCAGGCCCCCCTTTGCCGGTTCGGCCGGGGGTGCTAAGTGAGGTTCTTCGCACTCGATCTGAGGAACGTCAGCGAGAGAGGAAATGCACAAGACACGGGCGACGTAGACAGGTTCGGGCCGCTGAGAAGCGTAACACCCTACTCCTGTGTTCTGGTGGATCTGTGCGTGAAGGAATACAGAGAGCCGGAGAGCGAGAGAGAGTTCAGGCTCTGGAACCCATTCGCCAGAGTCCCAACCCCCTTCCTCCTCCTTTTTTTTTCTCCCCTCTTCCTAGGCCTGGGCCTCCTTTTTATCTGGTCAGGGGTCACCACATGGGCCTCTAGCTGCCTAAGAAGGGAAACATGCTTTTTACAATGAGGGCTAGTCTACAGCCGGAAGTGACCTCTGACAAGCAGAGCGCACGTCTCCTGCCCCGCTCGCCCGCTTTTCCGGTGGACGCCCATTTCAACCTTCATTTAATGGCCAGCGACTT